AAGCAATAGACGACACTTTCTATGGGTTTACCGGCGTGATAACCCACTTGCGATGTTGGGAGAACACTCGAAAAGCTTGTAAATCACTCGCCTTCGGCTCGTGATTTACAAGCTGTTCTCGTGTTCTCCCAACATCCCGCGTGGGTTATCACGCCGGTAAACCCATAGAAAGTGTCGTCTATTGCTTAAATAATTAATGTGGGAAGCCCGCACAGTTTGATCCTCGGCAACTTTTTCTGCTATCGATCACCCTTCAAACTCACTAGTGTTATTTTATTCCCCGCAAAACAGGCCACGGGGACAGAGGAACGCCAAAGGACAGTTCATGGTCCATCGGGTGAAAGCCGTGTTCCTTTTGAAACAAGTTCCATTTGTTCCTCTCTCGCCATAATCCAAGGAAGCGGCACAGATATCGCCGTGAATAGCTCGCCTGGCGCTTTGCTGATGAATCCTCTTGAAAACTTCTAAATGGAAAACGCATTTCCACCGGGAAAGTTTCCGGGTCAACCGGAAAACAGGACTACCTTTCAAAGTTTCCCTTATTACCAGGAATTTTCCAGTGGAACGCCCGAAAATATGTGTTTCCATTACACCACAACCAAAATTTCCATAATTTCTTCGTAAACGGAAAGCACCCCTGCTACCATAAATTGCCGCGGAACACCTTCCCCATCGGAGAAAACAAACAAGATGTAGCACAATTAAGAGGAAAAACTCTAACAAGGTCTTTATTCGATTTTCCACGCATGTCTGGTGCTATTTGAGAAACAAAACAGACATATCATAATACAACAGCCACAAAATACAAAGCAGGAAAAGATGTGACGAAAAAAGGGAAGAAAACTAGGAAGTAACGCAATAAGAACACTGTGGACGAAAGATACCTTACTGGTCACTTGGCCCGGTCACTTGGCTGAATACACTGTTTAATCTTGAAGTATTGACCAATTTATCTTTAGGATACGGTCGGATTACATTAAGGCACTTGGGGAACCAAATTTGACCCAAGCTCCCGCGGAATCTTATAATAGCCCGGCTAGTAAAAGAAGCATAATGTCCCCCTCACAGGAACAAAAGCAGGCCAAGAATCGACCCCCAAAACGGTCCCGGAGCAATTTGACGCAACACCGACCGAAAACCAAGGCGCCCGACTGTGAGGTAGCGAGAATTGCCCTGTGGTACTATTTATTGTTCATCGCTTGGTCGCCATTACTTTTGACCCTGGGTAAGAAAACCTAGTGCGTCACGGAGAAGCTCTTACACTTGAATCTACGGATAACTTCCACAATGGGAAAATAAGAAAAGAGTGCTTTTCTACGTGTCTCTAACGTTTTGCACAAGGAGACTTAATCTTAGACTCTGTCAATGAAATTTTAAAGCGGTGACCGATAAAAAAGAACTCTAAATTTTGGAACCTGTAAGCCACGCAAACATATGCAATTTCCTGAGCTTTGAAGCAAGGGGTCTAACCTACCTAAACGAACGGCCTAAAATTACTGAAGACGTAAGAAAACTGTCAACAACGATATATATTGTCATAGAAGCCACAATTTTCGCGATGCATGAAAAAAAATTGTAAAATTCGGTCGGCTCACTCAAGGCGACGGACACTATTAGAAGATTAAAATCAAGATTCACATTTGAAGTAATCTTTCAGTGGCGACAGAAGGTGCCTTATTACAGGAACACTCCATGACTTCCCCAGCAACCGCTGTCTCTGTGACCGGCCCATGTTGCTGACGTCAGTGTAATGAGAAGGCAAACCAAACAACCTGAGAATAAAACACAGCAGTTATTTTTTGCAGACAAGTCTTGAATATTTTGTCCCAATTCCTGTACGATCTAAATTTTGTGGGTTGTAAAAATCAGAATCAGTAGCCTGGACTTCCCCACCTTTTCAAGTACAATATGCCGTCTTGAATTTCAAAGGTACACTTCGTTGATGCACAGAATTGGACTTGAAGGACAAGTGTAAAGCATAAATATATTTGGCTCCAAGGTGTGAATAAATATCAATCAATGTGTTTTACGCGTTTTTTCCTGAATAACACTGAACTTGAAAACGTCGGCAGTTTTTTTTTTCAGCAAAACAGTTTCCACGCACTCTTGAACAACGTAACTGTTAACAAGACAATACAACACTATGGTAGTCTTTACAATAGAGCCTAAATAAACTAAGAAATACTTCAAGACAAGTCAAATTTAAATTCTTTAAGTAACAGGACGCGTCACACCCAACCTATCCTTTTTACTTCAGGTTACCTTAAGCCTACTTTCCCACGCAACATAATTAAGATTGTCTGACATGGTTCGCAAGTTCGTAAAGTCGGTTTTAAGGATGGTTTTCAAGTCAACTTTACTGAGATGTAAAACACGTATCTTTGGTTAAGTAAAACTTAGCAGCTCTTAAGTCTTACTTAACGGCCTGGTGTAAAGACTACCAAAGTATGAGGAGATTTCCAGCTGCAAAGAAAGTCATTTATACAGCTTGCCATTCGGGCAAGCTGTAGTTGGCATGTACTAGCCAAAAAGCCGTCATTTCAACTAGTGCGAAAAAAAAGTTTTGATGAGCATTAATTCTTCAATTTGAATTCCCCCAAAAACCTTCACTTGCCCGTCGGGCAAAAATTCACTAGCTCTGTAGGAGAATCTACTCGCCCCGGGTTACCGGACACTACTTTCTTTGCACGCCGGATTTACGTTACGTTGTTGCGGACGGTTTTGCTGAATTTCAAGTAGCACTGAATCTTGGTAACACTGCCTTTTTAATAACCAGACCGAAATTCCATGCGTTCAACATGCTTTCAACTTTGTTCAAAACGATTGAAAAAAAATCTGTTTCCCAGTTTGTCGATAAATCATGTAGTGTTCACCTTATTCCAAAAAGGGGACAATATTATTTTTCTCATGTCGATCATAGTTGATTGCATCTGTAGAATTCAAAGAACTTTTACCCTGGTACGAGACATTGACGGCCAGTCATCATGAAGACAACAGAACGACTAAATTTGCCACCATTTTCTTGGAATACGGTGTTTAACAACAATATCTGCAAAGATGAACAGCGAACTAGTTTTTCCAACATTTGGACTGGTCAGTCTTACCACAATGCCCACCTTTTCGGAAAAATTGGCAACGTTGAAGTTAGGATTTTAAAGTTGAACAAAACAAACAACCAGACATTTATAATGGTCGACATGTTTCAAAATGTGAATCTTCAAACTGGGGTCGTCTGTGGTATAAGTCAATAGGACTTACCGAGACTGCAGCGAAGAAAAGACAAAACAAAACAACATACAATCAACCAACTTGAATTATGGTATAGTGTAGAATATTACCTTTCCATCTCTGTAACCCAAAGAATATCTTCTTTCTCCTGTCCATCACTGGCAATGTATTGAACTGGAAGCAGGGCTTTCTTAGTTTGAAGCATAGAATTGGCGTTGGTGGTGAGGGTTTGCACCTTTGTAAACTGAAAACAAAAACAATTCGGTTGAAATCTTTTCGCACGATAACTGCGTTTTTTGGGGGTGTAGTAATATACAATAAAGATAGTGAAACGAAAAAAAAAACTTGAACCAAGGATAAATTGAGCAACAACATTTATATCAAACACGAGGAGTGATCATACTAGACTGCGAACAATCTAATCTGCGCATAACTTCATAACTTCTCGCGAATTCCCCAAATGGATAGCCTGCTCTCAGGCTAGTTTCTTCCGAGATCCAGACACCAAGAAATGGGTTGGGAAAAACAAGACTTAGCCAAGTCTTCGAGGTGTTTTTTTTTTGCAAGGACATCATAAAAGGCTTTTTCACGTGGCTCACAACGTTTGGGCAAAGAAGGGGAAACTGAGCAGAAGTAATATCGTATACATCAATAAAATAAGGTGAAGAATCGCCCCATTGCAGTGCAGCGAAAGAACTGGTAACCAGTGGCGAAGGCTTCTCAGAGAAATATATTTCCGAGTTCAAAATCTACAGCAGATGACTTTTTGGTTTTCTGGTGACTAGCTTGAACGCTTTACCAACAAACTATCGGATGCTCATGATCCCTGGGCCTTGTTGCCCTGTGAGATCATTACATCACATGATCGCCAAGCTCAGAGATATGTACAGTGAAGCTCATGCTAAACATGCATTTTTTTGGCATCGTTTCATGTGCTACACAATTCCTTGGAACTTCTTCCACTTTTCCCTTGCTAGCAAAGCCTTTCCTTCCCTTGCTCAATTTTGGCGTACTCGAGAAAGACTCCACATGAATCGAGGAAGATATTTGTTGAGCATGTGCTGCTTTTTGCTGGGATAATGTTTTGAACCTAGACCTAATAGCCGTGCACTAGGTATATCAGGCTTAGTGATGACCATCGGTTTGTCAATAAACGGATGCTCGGCTAACCAGTTTGACGACAGAGAACAAGATTAACTAGACCAGAATCGAAGCTCGGGCTTTGGCGACTTCAAAGGCTTGACGCGATTCAAGACTCAGGCAGAGCCCCTCTTTATTTTCCTACTCAAGAAGACAAAACGAAGTTCTGCTCGAAGGGTGGGACTTTTGGACCAAGAATCTAAGGAGGAATACTCATGATGGTCCTTCGAGCCGAATAACGTACCTTTGCCTGTCGTCCACAATTTGGTTCCAGACATTCCTGTAAGCACAGCTTGTCGCCTGGTAAAGGAATGGTTGGCCTGCATGATCAAGCGTAAAGCACCACAATTGATCAGTAAACTGACAGGTTCTCATTAGCCATTGTAAGTAACGTTAGTCTTTCAAGAAGCCCTTTTTGGCGGGAGCTTCACACTTCTCACCGTAATAACGCGTTTCGCCGTGTGAAAGCCAATTATCGCTAACTCGGCGACAAATTTTTATCCCGGTTACTGTTTCTTTTGTTCAAAGCGTACTCTGAGATATTTAGTCATTTGGGCGCGTCCAAACATTAAATTGTGGGCAAAAAAATTTACTTGAATATGCTTTGTAAGCGCTTAGTACTGAATTCAAATCTAAAAGCTATCCTTGGTTATCTTAACCGCTTTAAACAAATTGCCAAGGCTCCGGTTGATCAAAAAGTGAAAAGCGCTATCCACCGGAAAAATCATTATCTACTGGATAGCGCAAATAGTTTCCCTAACACTTATCTACTGGATAGTGGATAAGTGTGGTGGATAGCGCTATCCATCTTTTGAAAACCGGGGCCAGCTGCATGGTGACTTGTTTGACACTAACGATGATACAGACTATAAGATTGAAGGAAAAACATGAACCGGTTCACCTGTTCATGCCGGGTAGGTTTCCCCAGAAATAGCGCGCTCGGTGAGCAGGAGAAATGTCTTTGGCGTCTACCACAACGGGATTACACTGCAAGTGGAATCATAAAAGACTTGTTGGTATACCGTGAATAACGCAAGTGAAGCACATTTAAATTTTCGCATCGTGACTGTGCTACTGAGTGGCGCTAGGCGTAAAACCACTCTCGCCAGTCACGAGGTAGCTAGGATTTTTTAAAGGGGTAGGTTGGGGGGAAGGCGCACACTGTGTCACAACAAGGTTTGCCTGACTGTGACTGTCAGTCAGGTTTTGCCTGACTGTGACTGTGTATCTCCGGTGGCGCAATTTGTTTTTCTCTTTCTCTCTCGGGCGATGTTCCGAGAAACTGTCACGAAGATGGACGTCAAAACTGTCAATGTTATTGAAAAAACAAATTGACAACAATTTTCCATGGTCTTTATCCTTATCGACCATAAAAATGACGTCAAAATGTTCCAAAACTTTTTTTGACGTCATTTCTAACGTCGATAGGGGTACAGACAATGGAAAATTGTTGTCTATTGCTAACTCTAAAAGCCTTAATTACACTGGAAAATTTTCCGCTACAGATTTTTCATGATAAAGTATTAGAAACACGCAGGGTCCGAAATTGCGCCTTCCTGGTCGCCAATGCGACTAAAAATTTAGTCCTGGCGACCAGAATTTCATAGCTGGTCGCCAGCTAGCGACTTGTAAAGCTGGTTGTTATTGTGGACTTAAACGTTCGGAGAAACTGATTAAGAATTGAAACCTTGAAGCTATTTGCCAACACGTGTCTTACTTTTTGTCCTGCTGATATTTTTTAATTAAAAGTGAAACGAAGCTTCCTGTAATAATACCTCCACAACAGCTACTATCAATACGAGTTGAACGTTTCCAAGCCGCCATTACGAGTAATGTGGCCCACAAAAAAATGTGGCCTGGTACGAGCAACATGGCGGCTATGTTTTGTGGATTGTTTTGTGGATTGTTTTGTGGTAGTTATCGGAAGAAAAATAGTTTTGATATGATCCGGTGCAGTCATGGGCAGACAGCTTTCTGTTCCTACGTTCTAGATCAGATGGCTTTACATGTATATCTCCAAAAAGTAATTTGTGGAAAAGATGAGACTTCACTCGTACACGTACGGTTTCTTTCTGGTATCGGGAGCGGAAGTATTGCAATTTTTAAGCACAAAAACGTCCATACCATGCATTTTTTATTCGTGTTTAAACTTTTATTTGAAAAAAAGGGAGGGGGAATTTTTGGCGACCACAATTTGCCCTCTGGCGACCAAAAATTTATACTTGATCGCCAGTTGGCGCTCGTATTAAAAAGTTAATTTCGGACCCTGACACGATTTTCTCCTTTTTAATTAAGAAAAGAAGGGGTTGGATCCTGGAAGCGAGTTAGCAGTACGATAACGCAAGGGTAAATACAATTTAATCATCAAAATACTTAACTGAATTTGACCACTTAAAAACGAGGAGACTGGGACGAGTTAATTTTCGCAAAGACTTCTACAACTGTTACTAGGGACAGGGGGAAAAAATTGGCCAATAGTCGACGGGTCAGTCCCCAATAACGATCCTACTAACAATTGCGGGACGCATTTCGGCTCCAACTCTTTTCTCGTTTCTAACGTGGCTAATTCGGAATCAAATTTGAAAAAATCAGTAGTGTTGAACATGAAGACTAGATACCCTGTGTAAACAGCGACGCGACCTTTGTCAGTTTTCATACCTCAAGAAACCTTGAAATGACACATTTGTCTTCCGCTCTCATGCCAACAACATTCTCAAAAAGCCAATAGAATGGTCTTTCCATCTCTGACTTGGGTCGCGCGTATTCAAGAAGCCGGAAAAAGTCAAAGAAAAGGCGACCAGTTCCCTCTGTGAAGAACAAAGCTATTATCAGTCAAGTGATTAATGGTAGGTAAGTTTTGGTGATCTGTTTTCATGGTTATAATCCACTTTTCCTGCGTTGGTCACCAAGTATACAGACGTATGCCGTGAAAAAGGAGGCTCTTTTCTGTGAATCACGACCAAGAAGACAAGCATAATTCACGCATATGGATCAACTGATTGTAGACACTCGCCTTCCCCAAAAAAGACGTCGAATGCGCAGTGGGGGGTAGAAGATACGGAGTGGTCAATCCAGCTAGACTTTAAGTATACATTGCAAGCGGTCCTTCCCTCAAAGTTTCAGTCGCAGGGTCAGGTTTGAAAAGGGCCAATCAGATTTCGAGGAACACATGCTGTCGGTCGGCGCCCGGCCAAGCGCGGGAAAATAGGTTCGCCCAAGTTAGATTGGTTTTGGTTCACTTCTGATTGGTTCAAGTGATAACGTGGCGCGAAATATTTTAGCCAATCCGACAACGCAGCAATGAAAAATGAAAAACAATTCAAACCAGCGCCATCCACCAAGGTATTCCTTAACACTTTCGGACTGCTTACCATAAATTCCTCTTCTTACTGGATTTGCAATGGAAAGGTCGTTACACGGGCTTCCTCCAAAAACAAAATCAAATGGACCTAATTGTTCAATCTGCGAAACAAGAATAAACCACAAACCGGTTTTAACGAGTTTGACAGGTTAACCGTGCTTTGTAGTTGCTTGAACAAAGAGGAGGGTAGCGGTTTTCGGCGCGATTGCGGGTTTTAAAAATTAAGGAACTAATCTAGTCGAAGCGTTTAATCGTAGTGTCGGGTTGACCGATAAAACTGAAGCAGGTTCGAATTACAAGTGGTACTTTGACAACTTCTTTTAATTTTAGCCACAGGCACAAAAAGCCGCTTTTAAAAAGGTACTAGTTCCCAAACTTACAAAAATGCCAGGTTTTTCTTTCTTTTTTCTTCGAACGCACACAGAGTACACTATATTCGCCCCAAATCTGCTTAATCTTTGAATCACACTTCCCATTCAAACACTTTGAGCGGAAATTCTTTTTTTCAAGGTGGGCTTTCAAGCGTCATCGAAATCTAAAACTAAATTCCAGAGCTTCTAAGAGCTCCAACGAGTAGCGCGAACCCTAGCACAAATCTATATAATGAGAAAAGCGCACATTAGCTTCCACAATTAACTTACTTGTGCCCTAGAAATCTTTTGTATATCCCCAATATGACAGATTCTACTACCATGTTGGACTTTAGCGACCTGGCGAAGAACAAAAACGGTTAACATGGTTATAATAACATAAAAAAAGGTCACAAGTTTGTCCATATGTACCTTCTTTTGTTCTTTGCTTTACTTATACCTTCTTTTAACGTTTTGAGCGATTATTTTGTTTTACTCAATTTGGTGGCAGGTTTTCTGTTTGAATTTTGAAACATATTTCCCTCTGCTTGACCCAGCTCCTTTAAGACTGAGGGAAAAAACCTGTAAAATGTGATCAGAAGTGTCTTCTTGAGGTTGCCGAGGATTACTTAAGACTCAGAAGGATACAAAAAGGTTTCCATTCAAATTAACTTTGAATTAATTAACAATTAACAGTTTTAATAATGGGCCATTTGCATTATGGCGTTCTTTTACTTCTCTTCTTCTTTCTACTACCAGAATCCTTCAGTGCTTTTGTTATTTATACCTCAACAGGGGATTACCAAATTTAAATATGAAAGGAAAAACAAAACGAATTCTGGTTTTAGCAGTAAGGGCCTGTTTACATGGAGTGGGGGACCCCGGTCTAGTGGGGTTGGTTTCTTTTGTTTTCACGCTCTGGGGGACACAAAACAAAAGAAACTTACCCCAGTAGACCGGGGTCCCCCACTCCGTGTAAACAGGGTCTAAAAAGACGTCATCATGAAAATGGTTTATTAACAACAATTAACAGTTTTTCATCCTTTCAACTGGCTGCATTTTTTATGTTAGAGGAGAGATAAGGGTACATGAGTTTACAAAAGAACTTACCTGAACGGCTTGTTCGTCAATTTCAGAAGCACAATAAAGTTCTATTTCAATACCAAGTTCTTTTAACGCCTGAAGTCCTGTTAAAGAATAGAATTAAATGGCCAGTTAATATCTTTCAGTTATGGATTCACGATGGTGTCACTTTGTGAAAATCGCGGCAGGATTAGGTCTGGTGGTAAAAAGCTGGACTACAGAGCGGCAAGTTCCCAGCGGATTCCCCGCGACCGGACCAAACCACAGGTTCTTCAATAACTGAGGAGAAAGCACTGCTGCAATTGGCTAGACTTACCAGTGGCTCAGATGACCGCGTATAAAATTGCGGTCTCGGTCTCCTTTACATGTAAAAATAAAGCGAGCCCATTTTCGTACTTACCCGAGGCTATTCCGTCAAACAGTGATAACACTCTGATGGATCGACGTTCCTCTGGGGGGAGGGCTGGAAAAGTGTAGGGTGCTTTCTGCGGAGGTAAAAATGTTGCATTCATTGATCATTTCAGTTTACATTAAATACGCACAATCCGTCTGAACGAACTTGGGCAAACATTTGGAGTTCGTCTGGTTATGCACCTCTCGAACAAAGACGGGCACAAGACGCATTCCACACGAAATATCCATCGTAATCGGTCTTGAGCGACGTCCTTCGAAAGTTAGTTTCTGTGGACGTATAATGCGTCTCTGTGCGCGTAGACGGTTAACGGATGAAGAACGTTAAAAACAAAAAAAAAAAAAAAAGAAAAGAAAAGAAAACCTTTGCATGGGAGGACTAATACCTATTTACACATTTTTTGAAAAATTCGATTGATGCGTTGTTGGGGCCTAGAAGCTATGGACAGGAAACTTTGCCAAACTTTAGCAAGTTTTGTCGGGGATTTAACAGCTGTTCGTATCACCCAGGTGTATGTAATAACGAAGTGTCGAAAATGCGAGAGTTAAATGCATTATTCGTTCATCACTGGGTAAACAGTGACTGAACGGAATACATGAAGAAGCTTCTTACAAAATCTTGTTCCTTGTCATTCATAAATAATTCCTGTAGTCCGGCGGACCAGTCCTTCCGAGGTGTGATGAGTCCCTGAGATTTTCCTGAACACATGTAACACACCCACTTTTCACAAGCGCCAATCTACCAAACAACAAAAATATATAAACACTTTATGACTTGTCCGGAAGGAAAAAAGTTAATAGCAACAAAAACATTGCCTTCTCTAATTAACTGCTGCATTTCCATCAATTTGTTTCCTGTTGCTCACAATCAGGAATCAGGAAGAATATCTAATACCATTCAAATTGCCTTCAAAGCCTGTTCACATGACCCCGGTTTCATAGATTTCGCGTCATTACTCTTTCTTTTGTAAAAATTTTGTTGTCCTCAAATTGTAATGGTGGGCTATCCCGGCTGCCGAGATCTCAGTTTCTGCGACCGAGATCTCAGTAACCGGGCCAGAAATTTTATGAATGATCACTCCAGCCCAGTTACCGAGAGTAAAACTCGAAAGGTCGAGCTCTGTTCAGTAACCGAACTGTTTCCCAGAAGAACAGAAACCGGCCTAACGTTTTCCATAAGAAAGGAAGGCAAAATTCGTCCCGCTTTCCGGGCCGGCAATTTACGGGGTTCATAATAGGTGGCAATAGTTTCATCACTGCAAGAAAAAAAATGCCGCCCTTTAGAGCAGATTAAATCCTTTGAACATGCCAATCTAATTCACTAATTCACTTTAAACGATAAAGGATCATGGGAACAATACCTGTTTTACAACAGCGACACCACATAGCATACCAATACACAAACTGCAGTATGACCTGTGAAATCACATCCATGACAGGTTTAACTTTTACTTTATCTTTAACGGTCTTTGTAAACTTTCTTTCAGTATTAGGACAAAAATCTTTGCCAGCCATTAGGTAAAAAAATTTAGCCGCTGAGAAAGTGACGCACTAGCTTTTGTCACCATTCACCCATGTGCAAATATATAGCAAATGGGTAATTGACCAATGAAAGCGCGCGCTTTACTCTTGTTATGTTATGATACAGACGAGAGGCTACAAAACAATGGACAGTACCTTCACCGTTGAAACTAAAACTTTTCCCATAACAGTGGTGAAAAACATCCCCAAATGAGAAATTGAGAAATGCACACAAACGTACACTGGTAAATTACCAGGATAATCTGTTCACAGGCTTTAATTCTGCATGTTTTTCAGGTACTGTAAGCAAAAGCCAGCGTGAAGCGGGCTTGGAGCGCGAGAGACGCACGAAGGGAGGGAAGCTTTGCGCTTGCCTTCCCTCGAGTGAAAAACATTCAAAATTAAAGACTCTTCTGTAGGCTATTGGCTAGGTTAAGCCAGGTTGTAAAACGCTGAAGCGTGGCTTTGCCATGGACTTAAACATGCGCTGAGGCTTGCCAAAAACGGAGTTTGGACTGTGCCAAGTTTTGTTTACTGGAGAGCTGGTAATCCTCTGTTGAGATTTTGACCATGTTTAACTTTGACCTCGTTTAAAATTACCAGCCCTTGGTTTTCTTTATCGGTGTTTTCGCAAAACATGTTATTATCTTAAAGATGGAAGTCTAGCGAAAGTTAACCAAAAAGTGACTCCGGCTAAATGTGATTCTGAACAAAAAAAAAATCGTATCGTTTCACCTTCATTAAGGTACTATCAACGTCAATGAGTGCAAGAACCAATATTTCTTACCTAAAACAACCAGTCTTGTCACACATAAAAACCTCCTTTCCATCACCACAAATAGTGCAGTACATCTAATTTATTAAAGAAAAATAATTTGTGGAGATTACAAAGTGCGGAGTAGTTCCCACTGGCGTGATTGGTGATGAACAGCCTGGAATCATTAGATTTAGTCAAGCTTGTATATCTTCAACCACTGACAAAAGGAACATAAAAAAAATTGATCTGAATTTTTACCAATCGCGTTTTTTTTTTGATACAGTGCTGAGAAAGAACAAAGTTTAAGGCGTTTTCCATGGTATGAGAGACTATGACATCTCTAGAAGGAAGAACTCGAACATCTTTATTTATCATAGCCTGCGAACAAGCTCTCCGGGGCGCTCTGGCGGCGTGGTGGGAAAAGGAAGGAGAGCTTGCAACTTCTTCTCTGGAATTTGAATTTAGCGTCCAATTTCCCTGTGGCTCCCTGACGACTGAGCTTTCAGATCTCCGCCAATCAGCGCGAAGCGGAAACGAGCGCGAATATTAACCAACATTGATAAACACGTGCCAAGGGAAATGACGACATTACTAATGTCACCTTCGCCAATCAGCATTTCGCATTGACTTTTTCTATGCAGATCTTCAAATTCCAGAGATGTAGTTGCAAGCTTCCGTTTGTTTTCCCGCCCCACCGCCAGAGCGCCCCGGAGAGCTTACTCGCAAGCTATATTTTTCACTGAGGCTAAGTTCTCATGGCATGGGTTGAAAATTCGTTAGTTTGGCCTTTGGGTGATTCCATCACACGGAAGCACCTTAACTGCACGAAAATTAGACGCCTAGCCGTACAATGTTCCGTGAGAACAAAGCGTCCAGTCAGTTCAGTCCAGTTCAGTCAGTCGGTCGAAAATTCGCCCCGGTGGCGTGTGAACTTTGCCTGTAAAAGGAGAAAAATATTAACGAGTGTTACAGTCCGCCCTAAAAAAAACCTTCTACATTCCAGGGGTAAAATCAAAAGCACTAGTACTTTTACGATCATTGTGGTTGACTTTATACGTGTAACTATTCAAGGACACGCTAGCCTGCGTAGCTGGCGGTATTGTGTGGGTGCGAGATTAAAGTTTTGGCGGCGGAGCTGTGTTCCAAAAAAAAGGGAGTAGCGACGAGGCGGTTTAAATACCGCCTGCCAGAAAACCCCGGTATTTTGAATAGTCCGCACACCAGTGTGCGGGGAAACGGATTGGTCGAGGGCCATACATATGTCAATCATGTTAGATGAGCAATTGTCTTTATTTAGCCGTAAGAAACAAAGGTCAAAGAAAATTAAAACACTATACAACTGCATCTGAGATCAAATCCTATCAGGAACACCTACAGAAGAATAAACCACCGGAAATGGTTACTCAGTATGCACGTAACAAACCAGCTTCACGACCTTTAAATGTTAAGCCTGGTGTTGCAAAAAAAGATTTACTCAGTCAAAGTTTAGAATGATACATGCACTGTGTAGTGCTAGTAACCTTCGCGCGAGAGCCGAGAAAATAAAAAAACCGCTGTTCAACCAAACTCACAAGGTCACGTTTCACATTATCACGAGCTTAGGAGAAGTGTTTAGCCTGTCAACGCTTATTTCTAAACTGTCTCGCGCGAAAATAATCGGAAGTTTCAACTTGCAGGTTTCTCTTTGACTGGTTGATTTAATTGCGATCAGCTAAGGTGACAAAAGTGGGCGGCATTCGAAAAATCGTAGTTCTCCGGCAGGCCGTATTTCTCGCGGCTTCGCCGCTCGTGACGGCTCCGCCGTCAAATCTCAGTCGACTATATTACAACGGCTCCGCCGCCAAATCTCACTCGACTACTACACATTACCTGTGGTCACACTACAGACTTTTACTTAGGTAAAACCGATTTACCTAGGGCAAATCCATCAAAAATCTCCCGAGGTAAATTCTTCTCGGGTTTTGTTTTACCTAGGTAAAAATTCTGGGAAGGTCACACTACTGATATCGGCTCCCAAATTTTTCACGCCAGTTAAATTTTTTGGACCGTAAATTGAAGAAGGCAAAATGCACAGGGATCTAGCTGATCAAAGAGACGTTTTTTTCTTTTATCTCGTTGTTATTTCTTACGCTAATTCAACGTGCAAGGTGAAGAAAGGCGAAGACGTACACGACTCGTGCCCCCAAAATTTCTTTCACAGCGTGATCTATGTCCGGTTCTGTCATCAAGACCTTCGCCGATGAGCGTCTATTGGCTAGCAACCTCGGTATTTCATTTTCCCCTAGCTATTGCTTTGGGGTAGCTGTCAAGGTAAACTCTATTGTTTTCGAGACATATTCAAGACCCAGACGATACAATTTCCCCGAGGTGAGTTACCTAGGGAAAAATCGGTCACACTTAAAAAATCAAGTTTCCCTAGGTAAACTGTCAACAAGTCGTGTTTACCTAGGTAAAAAGTCTGTAGTGTGACCAGCTACGGAGGCTAAGGACACGCTGACTAGTGCAATCGATAAAAACGGATATGGGAAAACCAATCGATAATTGTTGATAATCACTTTTTGATTGATATCGATTGTGTCGGTCAATCGATAGAAATCGATGGCAACAACTTTTTTCATCGTGAGCGCTATCGATTTTAACGATATTATCGCTATCATGATTTTTCATTATCTTCAGGATTCAAAACCCAATCAATGCATTGAAAACTGGGCCTCATTTGAAAAACTTGAGAACAGCTAGCGATTGGCGTTTTGGTCACGATACTTCTCTTTCCATTTAGTTGCGGAGTTGCTTATCTACTTTGTTTTGCATATTTGCAGGATGATTTTAATGATGCTTTGCGATCATAGATTTTTGAAGAAGCAAGGGTCTTACTGACAAACTGGATTCTGAACAGTATCCTCACCAATTGAAATGTAAAGTGTAGGGTTCAAATTGAACAGTTTCCAATGCAACCAAGCTGAATAAGTTGTTTATGTTAATTTAACGCATTTGTAACTCTTTTTTATCCTGTCGATTGGCCGAAAATGTTTCGTTAGAGTATTGAGTGTAATTTGTGAAATACATTTCGTTACAAATTTATCCGTCCAAGGCCACATAAATAATGTACTTCGGAAACAACGTTCTTTTCCTATGTTAACCGCTCAAGCACATGGAAACTTAAGGACCCATTAAAATCGATTCGTTGAAAATCGATTAAAATCGATAATTATCAATTAGCAACAACCTTTTCCTCTATCGATTTTTATCGACTTTTAATTTAATCAATCGATTTTATCGATAGATATCGATTGCGCTAGCCAGTTGATCACTACAAAATCATAGTCAGTAAAAGTTAACACAGTTCTTTAAATCTTACCTGCGATCCGTCCTCATCATACAGATAAACATTTTCCAGAAAAGAAGTCTAAATTAAACAAACATGCACAAAAAACGCTGGTAAACACGTCAAAATGTTAATTAACCGCAGTTTTTCCACCAATTTGTTTCCTAATTGCAGTGCTCATAATAATATGTACTTATTGACTGAGGCAGAGGGCCGGATGGGAAAATATTTGGCTTGAGGTTAGAATGTACGACCTAACCCGACCTAACTCATTCAATAACCATTTTTATCAGATGACCGTTGTGTTTTTGAATTTTTCTGACGGAGCGAGCCCGCATTAAATAGTACGCTTTTCTAGCAGGGCCGTACGCGTTTTCTCGGCCTTATCACTTGACGCGTACCGCCCTCATACGGGTCTTTTTTTTTTCATATGGTTTTCCGCGCGGGGCCGTACAAGTCATAAGACAATGAGCATTACACATGTACCTAATGCCATCGACTTTGATTTCTAATGGTGTATTATTGCTGTACAAGCAACGTAGAAAACGTAAATTCAGGTTGAGAATAAACTTCCTGAAGGAGCAGTATTACTCTCAAGAGCGTAACGTCCATATAAGCACATACGCACGTACGTACATGTACTGGCTGAAATATGGGGAAAAATATATATATATTTCTTTTTTATCATTAAATCGGGATGACTGATACATTTTTCGCACTAAATTCGGGAGTCTTTGTCTGAACATTTCCTTTTTCCCTTTTCTTTTATTCCACAATTTTGATTGCGTCACTGGCCTCTTTTTCCCTGGTAAACATGCAATGTATATAAACAACTAACTACAGTATTTTCCTGTGTTAATTTACTGAAAAAGTCCCTCGGAAAACGCTAAAAAATAGCATTCCCGAGACCATAAATTTCCTAGGAGAACATATCCCCCAGACTCCCCGCTAGGTTGGGCCGCCATCGACGCCACAACTTTTCTTCTCCGCGTGCGTACACCTTCAAAATCTCACGCTACGCCCCTGACTCTTTCACTCTGTCATCAGTCCCCTCGCCCTTCCCGTTTATTCGGGGGAGGGGCTGAGAGTGGTTGGAGGAGTAACCATGATAGGACGGTTAATGGTAAAATAAATTCAAGACTCTCACCATCAAGAAGTCAAGATCCAAAGTTTCAGATCAGAGATCCATGATTTTACTAGATACAGTGAAACCTAAACTAGGCTGACACCCAAAGGACCTTCGATGTTCACTTAACTAAGATATGTCCACTAAATACAGGTTCATTTTACTTAGCGTTTCAAACATACTGAGCTATTATGGGGTCTGCTTAACACAGGTGTCACTGTGTATGGCTATCCAACGCTTTACGGTTACTTCACCCCCAAGCCATTTCGCCCCAGTTACTTTGCCCCCTATTTTAGAACGGGGAATATGACATTTGAAGCGCGCTTGTTTTGGTTAATGTCTTACAGAAAGAGGAATAATTTTGAAGCGCGCTTGGTTTGGTTTAGGGCTTATATAGAACGAGGAATATTATATTTGGAGCGCGCTAAATGACTGGAAAATAGGCGGCGAAGTAACCGGAGCGAAATGACTTGGGGCGAAATGACCGGTTACCCTACCTAACCAACCCCTTGCTTTGTCCTCTTGGTTGTATTGTAATTTTCTGTTCTGTTCTATTGATTTGTTACTTTTTGTTTTCTGCAGTTTTGTAAACCTGTTACTGGTGAATTTCTTTTCAACATCACAGCATAACAGCTTTTTTAGCAAAGTGGTGTATAAAATGAACTGTTTAGTACTCAACAAAGGCATTAATCCTTTAGATGCCAAGAGTGACCAACATCAATTTTTCTCCCACCAACATCAGCAGATCATCAAGAGTAAAGCTTATGAGATTTACCAAATTGATTACCAAAGGGAGAATGCCTTGATCTTAAACCAAATTCTCTCAACTATTCTTAAAAGAAATGTATGGAGATCAGTCTGGAGAATTTGTATCTGGATCTTGGGGCTTAAAGGGTTCAGTTATGTTACAACTACACGTACCTTACACTCCTTACAAAGTCCACCTTCAAACAATGGGTGTTTAGCACAAACTCTATGGTCTCCACAGGCCAAGCAGATCCCTAAAAAAAATAAATGAAATAAATGAGATGATAACCAATCCCCCTCAATAAGACAGGGTGAATTTGCTGAAACTCTAAATTGATTCTTTATGACATTAATTCATATCAAAACTGTCAGTGGTAACCGTGTCTCACCAACTCTTTCGAGATGCAGGAGTAGGGTTCATTAACTGCTGCATGGCTGGCTCTGTTGGTTGGGTACCAAACTATGGGTTCCAATACAAGCCGGACCAACACTCAGGGTTTAAAGTAACTGAGGAGAATGTAAAACCTTTGCCCTGACTTCTCCAAATGGCTAGTAATCTCTCATAAGAATGGAAGACCTTAGTCCCAATCTCACAGCACTCTTACTGTTATGACTTTTGTAGTACATAAAAGAAAACAGACTGTTGCTTTGAAAAGTGTAGAGGGCATAGACCCTGGTGATCTCATTAACCCTTATGGGTTGGGCATGTAACAATAAGGGAGCAACATTAACTTGGACGCAAGTAACATTTTATCCCCTTTCATCACCTTGATTCACCATGGCCAATTAAAAAAATAGAAAATAGAATGTGTGGTTCCAGAAAATAACCATACTTGCCCCTCCCCAAACAAATGGTTGGTGGAAATTCTGAGGGGGGTAGGATGTCCAGAGACCTACATTTCTGGGAGAAAAGGGGTGTTAAAAATATGCAGCTTTTTCCTGCGAGGCAAGCACTTTTAAATTTATCATAAAAAAACATTAGTCCATTGCATTGCATAATTAATAGGAACAGGCATCAACGAAATAATTTCCAAGATATTTTCAGGAGTTTTCCAGAAATTCCAGGGATAGTATGAATTCTGTAAAATGTACAGCTAGTTTTGTGAAAATCAGTAATTATTAATAATTAATAACAATTATTTTAGATTTTGTGCGTATTTATTTCAGATCTGCTTACCTTCAATGTTTTTTTTCCCATCTACCACCTCATTAAAAAGAGCTGATTCAGAGACAAAAAGATGGAAACAAATGAGTGAAGCCGTGGCTTATCTATGCAAAAACTTTCTTAAATGTCTACAAATAAGGGTATTACACAATAAAGTTCTGTTTTTTGATACTTTTTTAATTTGCACGTAAACAAAGTTTTGACATAATTTTAATCTTTGGTTTAGTATTCTATATTCTGCCATTTTTGGGGTATGATATCATAAGAGTTTTTAAAGAGTATAAAACAAAGAAAAGTAAACTTAATCACAGCATAAAGATAAAGCTGTTAGTTGTATAACTTGAAACCTTATTAATTTTGCTAAGTGCTTATACAGGTTTACAAGTAACCGTTAACTATTACCAAAACTGCTATGTACCTGAAAAATAATGCATGTTATTGCAGCCCCAGTAAAAGCAAACTCTTACCTTTTATATTTTCTGCCAGGTTAGGTTCCATGACTGGTTTTCCAAATCGTGATTTGTAGTCAACATTAACTGAATCTGTGTCACTTGAAGCCAGATCTACTACTGCTGTAACAGTAGCATGTGTGGTGGGCATCATGTCATCTATTAAATGAGGAAAACACAGTTAATGAGTGTTGAGAATTGGCTGAGATCTCACAATCGATCATAAGAAATAATTGAATTGACCCAACTGATTTATCATGCAGTTATAATTGGAAAAAAACTCTTTGTACAAATCCCATTTAGGACAGCTGCTGTATGTTCTAAAACACAACAAAAACATGAAATGTTTCAGAAATGGGACCGCAGCGGATTTGACCTTGCTGGCCATAGAGTTCTAGAATAATATCAGTGGTTGAAGAGCATTTTGAGATGTAGAACTTGGATAGTTGTGAGTTTGATTCTCGCCTAGAGCTTTTTGAATTTATTCAAATTTTCTTTCTTCTTTAATTTTTTATTATGATGCCATTAAAAAGACAACACACAAATTTTTAATATGCTCATTTGCCAACAAGAAGTTTTATTTCTTCCCCATGCTAATCGATTAGACAGTTTCCATAATCAATTATTGTATGGCTTAAAGATCTCAATCAATAATCAACACATGACTATAGTTAACTATAAAAATGGACTTTCCAACTCTAATAATTCTGCTGAGAGTCTTGACTTTTTAATCAATAACGTCTGCTGATCTACTCATGTTCAAAGTTATCATTTTCCTGAACTGTACGTTTGTAGTTCCTATAGGTTTCAAATAATAATATTTGGGGTGCAGCTAAGATTTCACATTCTGGGTGAACAGCTCCAGAAGTTCCTTTGGTTTTATTTTCCACTTTTTTTCTGATGACAGTAGTTGGGGAAATCCCTGGTCCCTCGTTCTTAGTGACTGGCTGAGATGTGGCTAAATATGGCATAATTATAGTAGGAGGAAATCAAGCTGGTGCATAAAAGGCTGCATGGAAATCAAGGGACGTATCATTAGGAGTTAAATATACAAAAGTCATGTACTTATACCAGTAATAACCAAAGGTCAAAACGTTTTTGCTTCAACGCTGTGCTAATTTGCGTAGCATTCACGTGACAGATGGTCAAAACATGCGTGATCAGATTACTAGGGGTAGAAGGTCGAAACGCGCAAGATCAAACTGTATTCTGTGCATTCCGTTTATTCTTAGTGGAAGTCCAAACGAATGCTGGCTACATACATGCGACGCATGTGAAATGTGAAATGACAACCTGAAGATTAGGATTGCTGGCTGCTCTTGTCGCCCGCAATCAATGCACATGTGTTTCCATTACCTTCAGTTGGAGCAAAACCTTTAGGGCCACTTGGTTTAAACCCATTCATTGCCCATTCTAGCATCATATCCTGCTTCTCTTTATCAGTAAGTACTTCATCCTTTTGCTGCTTGGCAATCTTATTTGCGTCAATCTTTGTCTGCCTTGTTCTGCTGCTTTTTTTTGTTTGCACTGCTTGGTTTTTTGGACTCTTGGAGAATACTTTTCCACACCTACTAGCAGCCACCTTTGGAAAGTATAAAAATTAATATCAATCCACAATCACTATTTTCTTGAACAAAATAAGACTGGCTAAATGCTCTGGACTTCTTAAAAGCTAAAGTTATCAGCAAGGCAGTTAACTAGATTAAGCATTAAACCACCAGTCTGAGACAGGCAGTTTTTGATTGGCCACTCCTGCACTTGTTTAACCAGTGGTCAATTTAATAAAACTTTTACAAGTCTAATTTACAAGCTATTATTTTGAGACTCTAAAACAATAGCTACACTTGTAAATTACACTAGTCTTGTAAAAGTGTTATTAAATTGACCCCAGATAAGCAAAATTTACCATAATTATGCATTTTTTTAAGCATTGTGGAAAGCTGATAGCCTGCTTAGAGAAGTAAAAGGATTGCAGCATTGTTTTAATTAAAATGAAGGTACTACATAATAAATTTGTATCAGAAAATAAACCTTTTCCACATGAACAGGACTCTGACTATGGTCATGCATATTACACTGTTCATTCAACCTTACCTCTAAGCAATCAAGAATAGCTCTCTTGTAAATTCCTCTCAATTTTCCACGGTTGAGACTTTCTCTGAATTTGGACAGTGGGCGTAAACATGACTCAGGAAGCTAGGACAAGTGTTTATACAATTACATTGTACAATCATGAACGAACACACAAAACAGACTTCAATATGTATTTTGCTTAGTCTTTACACCAGAACATAGAAATTTAGGAGGGGATCTCTGGTATTAAGTAACAGGGAGGTGTAAAGACTTATTAGGCATTAGAAATTAATTTGCAATCCAAGGACGTTTTAAAGGGTGGTAATTTATTAAACTAAAAGAAATATTGTGACGACTTTTCTTGGTTGAAACACAGGACTAAAAACGTGTAAAGACTGTCTACAGTCTTCCTAACATTTGAGACTGATGCAGATGTAGTTGGATGTAAAAACCATCTTGAAATCTTGCAGAGAAAACAGCTGTCTGACTATGAGAGTCAGGGCTGTGCTCACTCGCTAGTTTTGACTTTACATGTATACTAAACAAATTTACAAACCAGCGAAAACTTGTTATCCCCAAACCACCTGATCCAGTGATTATTTGTAGAAGGCGGAGTTTTTTGTGCCTCAATGTAGGAAACAAGGCGTCCAGGCCACCAGTCATAGCCCTTCAATCTGCCCCAAACTAACTGGCCAATTGCACATTCTTCCACAGGCTAACAAAAAAAAAACACATTGGTTAGGGTTTATGCAGTCCTTGGTATAAGGAATGATCTTCCTCGCCCCAGTAATAGTATAAAAATGTGGAAAAGAACATCGAATGGGACTGTGGTTTTGCCAACTATACTTACCTCTTGATCAGATACTATGATCTCATCACTAGCAGATGCATCCTTTTCATTTATAGGACCAACAGAGATAACTAAGTCACTCTTAACACGGATTTTTTTCTTGGACTTGTAGTCAGAAGCAGAGAACTCAAGCCTTCTCTTGACCTTGGCCTTTTTCTTAGTGGTTTCCAGGGCAGGTGGGGATCCAGACTATTAACAGGAAAGAGGAACATTACATTGTTTTTACAGACAAACCAAATTCACTGGCAAATCTAATCAATACTACAGTCCAAACCTCCTGTTAGCAACCAACCACTATGTGAAGATTTATTGGTCGCTTATGGGAGGAGGTCACTCACGAGAATCAAACTACATTGTAATAATGTATACTATTTTATTATATAGAAACTGATGAAATACCAGGATTTTTCCTTTTACTAAAAAATCATATCTTCATCGTGCGCAGTGAAGATACTATTTTTATCTTTCACGTGTGAGGATATTGGTGTCGCCATGGTAACTAACATACGCTTTTGCTGTTATAGAATTTTTCTCTTCTTCATTAGAATTTTGACTTTTTGGAACAGAAAATATAAGTATCATTTTCTTTATTTCTCCTTTATAACTTTATATCTGAGTTTCATAACATTTGCTGTTTTGAAAATGAATAAAAACAAAAGTTGTGTTTTATGTAGGAATTTCATCAGTATCTATAAAATAAACACAACATTACATGGCCGCTTAGGGATACAAATTTTATCTTCTCGTGCTGAAAGTATCTCTCACTCGTTCGCTCCGCTCACTCGTGAGAGATACTTTCAGCACTCGAAGATAAAATTGGTATCCCCAAGTGGTCATGTAATATCCTCTATATGTCTGAAGACTTAAAAACATTTACTTTTATTAACCTGTTTTGCTTATTGTGTTTTGTGTTGCATATTGTATTGACCTGTATTAGACAGGAGAATGCAAATGAACGGTACCGGTGAAATATCTTCTTTTACAACACTGTTAGTCAAAATAATGAGAAACCACATACCAGAGGGCTAGACGATACCGCAATACACATTAAAACAAAAATTACTGAAATATGGCTCGAAAGAAAGCTCAATACTGCAATGCTGTAATTAAACCCCAGTGTCCTTCCCATGATGCACAACATTAGTCCTGGCACATCAAAACAACTCAAACCAAATTAACAAAGACCCTTTGTCTTCACAACAATGAACGTCGTTTTTTTGGGTGATGTAAATTTTATAATACGATTGTGACTATAAAACTGTTACTCGAAACAAAGTCAAAAGCAGTTCAAGTACATGTAATAAACAAATGCATGGCCATGTTCAAAGGTCCTGGACATTAAGTGTGTTACAATCCACCATAATTATCCTCGCCATTCTAAGTCGTCATCATTTCTTTGAAAGTTCCCATCTTTTCTCAAGTGCTGTATTGTGAATTCATGTAACCACTGTTTGAAGTCCTATACCCTTTTTAAGCTTCTCAAAAGATCAAGAGATTAATGAATGACTGACTGTATGAAACCAGCTGCCAATGCAAAGTCACGTTATGGCAACTTTAATCTGATAAGCCATCACGTTGCTGGATATAAAGGTATTTACCCAGAAAACTATGCCAACATTACAGGCATAAAAATAATGATCAAAATAGTTTACTCAAGCTTTCCTGCAGCTTAGAGCATGTTGAAAAATTTAAACAATGAAAGCTCTTTAAGAGCCACTCCAACCTGTGAGAAAGGAACTTAAAAAATTTGCATAATCAAGCTCTTATCACCAGATTTCACAAAATTATTGAGCTTTACAAGAGGAATTATAGCAACACATGGGCCAAAGGGCTATTATAAAATCCATCAATATTGGAGATATTGAAAAAAAAAACATGTCCACTCTCGAAGCTCAAGCTCTAACATCATCTTAGACACGTTCTTGGTGCACTAATTACCTAAGCTCAAGTACAATGGGCGTGCAAGTGATAGTTAAACTAACAAATTCAGCTGTTCTAATCAATTCAATCAATGATTAGCTATGATCACATGCTGTGTATTGCCTGAACACATGATCAAGCCGAGCATTTACTGATTTCAAGGACTTACCTCCATGTTGTAGAATGCAGTATAAAGTGATAAGGCATGTAGCTGTCGAGAGCACTTGATTTGCTTCGCTGCACTGTCGGCCCGCCCGCCGGATGGGCGCGGGGAAGTTTGGTTAACCCTGGGAACAAGGCAAGCTTTCTTGAGAATTTTTCTTTCGCCATTCTAGTGTCATGTACACAAGAAAAACCAGTTCTCTTGACAGGAATGCAAATGCGTGGTTGTTCTCGCCGGAAAAACGATCAGAAGAGGGCTAAAGGTTTTGAAGAATAAAACTTTTTCCTCACTTTATCGCAAGCTTGAAACAGATCAAAATGTTTTGGATATTAAACTCGCATCAGGCCCTTGCAACACGCTCGTGTGCTCTGACGTGAGCTCCTTGATGTAAACTACCGTATGCTGTCCCCGAATTCTATTACTCGTCCCTGATCCCTCTCCTGGTGTTTTCTCATGTCCCCCCGTTTTTTCCCTGGTCATCCCTGTTTTTCCTGTGTGAATTATTTCTCCAAACAGTTCAGTGCTTCTCCTGTTGCCTTCTGATGCGATGCCAACTGGACCATTTCCGCCAAAATCATTTTGTGGTTATTATCTTGGTTATGAGTCATTTCTTTATTATTTTTTGGCCCCTTGACAGATTTTTATCATTTGGTACTTTGCTTTATTATCAAGCACCCTTTTTTTATTTAACCTGCGATCAGTTGATCGCGTAGTGTTTCATGAAGCATGATGAATGTGAAGGCTTCCAAAACTCGTTGGTATTTAGGAAAGGGGAAACCGTTTTGATTATGCAATGGAGATATAAAAAAGGTCGATGAGTACTCCTTGGACCCCGTAGAATAATAATCAAAGTTTTATACGGGGAGGTTCTGCACCGAAGCCCAAACACTTATAGCCTTTTATATACCATTTCTGCGAGAAAGGCACCCCTTTTGTATACCTTCTATCTACAAACTGGTACCCCTTTCACATACCTAGTTTAGAACTGTCCATCCCTTTTAAAATATGAAGAAATCACAAAACCAGGCCCCAATTGTTCAAAAGGTGGATAACGCTATCCATCGCATAAATCACTATCCACTAGGACAGTGATTCATTCGTTGGATAGCGCTATCCAACTTTTGAACAACTGGGCTAGAACGTTTTCTCGACTTTTTTACAGCAATAAAATGCATCTGTTAGCGCTTTTGGGCCTTTTTACGACCGAAGTGACAGATTTCCTTACCCTTTCATATACCTTAACTAGTAAAATCCCTACCCTTTCATACTGACCTGAAGCCGGAAAGAAAAAAGATACCCATTTCGGGCGGATCCACCCCGTACATATAGGCCATCATAGGGAGTACCCCCGGATCCCAGGGTCATGAGTAGCCGACACACTTGTGAAGGGAAAACCACAGTGGCAAACCAGTGAGGGTCCGCCGGATCTATGAGTAGCCTGAGATAATGTCTCCCTTGTATCTGATCTCTTTATATCTCTTGGATCGTGGGTGGGAAGGGGGGCATGACCCGGGGGGGGGGGGGCGGTTAGGGGAATTTTGAGTAGGGGGGTGCCCACCCCGGGGGGCGGCAAACCCTGCCCCTATTTAAAACAAAAATCCTTTTTTTCCCTACCCTTATTAATAACCCTGACTCTTTTCTTTTTTTCCCACTTTTTTGGTTTTGGCCCCAGATTTTTTACCATACGGTCCCGCGGATAAGAGGGAGCGACACACTTTGGAGGTGGAAACCCCCCGGGCAAACCCGGGGGGGGCCCCCGGGTTTTTAGGTAGCCCCTAAAAATGTTTCCCCTTTTTCTGTATGTTTTTTAGTCCTTGGGACGGGGGGGGGGGGGGGGGCCTGACCCCGGGGGGGGGGGGGGCAGTTAAGTGAAGTTTGAGTAGAGGTGTGCCCACCTCCGAGGCATGCAAACACTGACCCTATTTAAGACAGAAATCCTTTATTTCGCTACCCTGTATAATAACCCTGACTCATTTCATTTTTTGCCACTTTCTTGGTTCTGGCCACAAATTTCTGACAATGACACATCCAATGTAGCAAGAATTTCTGAGAGGGGATTTCAAATCACGCCTCCTGTGTTCCTGCCTGGCTCGAGTCTTGGCTCGAAGTCCTGGCTCAGTATATAGGCATTCTCTTGTTTTTTAGACTACGAGTAGTCCCCCATTTTTCCTAAGGGATAGTAGAACGAGCGAGACGCGAGCGCGCGTGAAAATCACCCCACGCGAGAAAAGGCAACACGCGGCGGGGACAGAGCCTCATTTTTCTCTCTCCCCAACGCGTTTCGTCTTTCTCGTGTGGGGTGATTTTCAGGCGTTCGCGTTTCGCGCGTTCTACTAGACGCGGTGGAGAGAGAGAAAAATGAGGCTCTCTCCCCGCCGCGTGTCGCCTTTTCTCGCGTGGGGTGATTTTCACGCGTGCTCGCGTTTCGCTTGCTCTACTATCCCTGAGGAAAAATGGGGGACTACCCGTAGTCTACTTTTTTTTTGACGTTGCCGTTGCAGTTGGCGTTGCCGACACCGTCGTAGTTTCGTTAGGTCCCTCATTTCGTTCCAAAACAATCAAACAGCGGCCATGTTGGTACCCGAGTAGTCCAGTGCCCTACAAGAACCTCTAATTTAAGTGACCGTCTTGAACAATATTGCCTTTTGTGTTGAGGGTTAAGGTTATTGTTTGTATGGTTATCCTATTGTTTTCACAGCCAATTGTGTGAGCTTTTCAGTGAGGTGCTGTCTGAACTCGGGCGCGGCCCGGCCGGCCCCCTCTCTTCAGTTCCTACCTAAATTCTCCTGTAAATTCCCTTCTTTTAAGTAACAGGGCGACATGGGAAAATCGCGAAGTGATTTGAAAGGATGCGGAGTCTATGTGACGTTTTCATGGATGTCGCCGTTGTCGGATCGTAAGGTCCCTAATATTCCTCTATTGATGTGCAAACTGCTGCTCACTTGAGTACAGCACTGTACTACATACCCAGGTCAGCGGTACATTCACGTTTAGGCCCCATAAGGGAGTGGTGGGGGGAGTGAGGGGCGCAGGATACATTTTGATATTTTCAATGTGTATACTTGGTATATTTTTGCTGATAAGGTCTTCTTTAGATCCTACGTTCTTTGCGGTTAATGTTCACTTGTTGCACTTCTTTTACCAGATCACATGCACTGTACACTTCAGATACAGTTCTGCACCTGATTAGCTGAAGATTAGACTAAAATTGCAAGTTTTTCAAAGAAGTGACACTAGACACCTGAACATAGCCGTTGCTTGGATACTCCCGAGTAGAAAATTATTCCATAGCGCATTTTTCTCGTACCTCGTGCGTCAACAGGTCGACAGGCCGACCAGGTGTTAAATTATTTAAAGTTGAGGGCGGCTAGTGGCTTGTGAAAAATAAGTATCAAGCGTTCTTTCCGCATCCCCCACCAAAAAAGCCTGAGGTCCTGAGCGGCCTCTCTGTGGCTTTAAAGACGATAACTCATCATCATCATCATCATCATCATCATCATCATCATCATCATCATCATCATCATCATCATCATCATCATCATCATCATCATCATCATCACCACCACCATTATAATCCTTATCCTCATCGGTTATAATCATTATCTTCCACGCCATGTTCACATTCATTATCTGCTGTGTGTCCCATTCAGTTCCCCCTAGTGGCCTCTGCACTTATCCCGGTTCTGCTCCAATTCCCTCACGTTCCCACAAAAATATTGAAGTAAAAAACAATTTACAGGCCTGCTGAAATCTCGCCCGTCCTTAAAGTCCAAAAACTGCCGTTGTACTCCCTTACATCATCAAACGCAAGCCAGATAACTCTGAAACTCTGATCGTACTTCGCAAAAATTACCTTTGCCAGAGATAAGCCCGACACCGATAGAGGCAGCATAAACAGAATGGGGTTGTAGCCGTTGAAAGCTGTTTCGCCATTCTTGTGGCACATCAGAAAGGTGTAACAAGCAGAAACGTTCTGTTGAAAAAATACTCGCACACTCTGGTATCGATGTGATAAAAGCCTAGGGTTGATTACCATCCGACTCTACCATTCGAGCTATGGCAGAAAGGACCGAGCCTAGTAAATGCCCTGCTAACCTTAGACAGTCATATCCGCAGTGCAAAAGTGAACGTAATAACTGAACTGCTAAAAGCACCGTCCACCTTCTTAGGTACTGACTTGGGTTGTACTTCGTTCTGGCTTGTCACGCAATCCTTGCGTGACGAGCGAGCGAAAAGAATGTCTGTCTGGCTGGGGTGGCGGGGGGGGGGGTAGGCTTTGGTAGATTGTGCTCGAAAAATAAGCATATTATGCTTTTAGCAGTGCTCACATTTTTTAGAAATTATGCCAACATTATGCTACTTTCTGAAAATTATGCTCTCTGTCACCGAAATTATGCTACTTAGATTTTGCACTGATTTTAAGGAAAATAAAGATCATCAGTAACTTAACTCTATCAATTTTGACTTTAATGAACAATCATATCACAGGAAAAAATAACAGATTCCCATTTTTGGATATTTTTGGGTATTTGAAGAATACCCATAAAAATCCCAAATTTGGCAAAGTGAGACAAGTCCCAACCAGGGAATTCCCAACCAAGTTCCCAGATTGGGACTTGTCTCACTCTTCCAAATTTGGGATTTTTGTGGGTATTCTTTAAATACCCCAAAATATCCAAAAATGGGAATCCGTTATTTTTTCCTGTGATATAGTCCACCTTCCAGTCTTACAGTCTTTAGCATGACAAATACGCATGTGCGCACATGATCTCGCCTTTTTTGTCACTTTTAACTTCTCTTTGCCTGCGGCATGTTTTTTGGAAGCCAAGTGGTTTTTGAGAATGCTCTTTTTAGAGCTCAGTATCTCCTTACACCCATTGCAAAAAAGTTTTCCACCTCGAAGACACAAATTTTCCCCTGGGAATTCTTCGATTCGATCACGAGGGCTCATGTTCTTTGGATCTGAGTTACCTCTTTGCTTGTGCTTTCCGTTATTACTTTTAGGAACACGTTCTCTAGAGATTAAAGCTCTCTGTACGGCACTGGAAGTGGTGGAAGTGGACTGTACCTGAGGACGACGCCATCTGAGGGGCCGAGCCGCCGAGCCATAAGCGTGGTGGCCTGAGTCTCAGTCTTATGCACAGGGTGACCTCTGCTGCCTGCCGTACCATATTTGACCATGGGCCTTAGCACAGAACTCAATATTTTCCAAAAACAATACAGAAATAAAATAAAAACTGAATTATTCTAGAGCTATGATGGGTTTTCAACGCATAAAAGCTCGGATTATGCCAGCAGTGCTAAACTGAAATAAAAGCTTAAAATAATGCTCGTTTTGCTGAATTATGCTTAACATTATGCTAGCACAATCTACCAAAGCCTACGGGGGGGGGAGGGGGGGGGGAATTATTAAGAAGCGGCGCAAAAGGTCACACAAGTTAACAAACGAACTCCCTTTTTGTCCAATTTTTAATCCAGCTTTCTAGTTCGCCTCGCAAATATTACAAATTTAATTTCATAGATATTCAGTCAAAATGTATTTTACATATTATAAACAACAATAATGATAATAACAATAGCAATCTTTGTTACATATATAGACAACACGAACGGTGCAACCGTCCGTATCCATATTTCTCATTTTCGTTTTATATATATTAATCGTGGTCCGAAACCTACTCCACCGTGTTTTTGAGCATCACAACAACGCATTTTTGTCACGAAATGCCTCTTATGTCACGCAATACTTCTACTGGGTAGAAATGTGGTGTGACGAAAGTGAATATGCAGCAGACTCTTTTTATCGCCAAACAATAAAACTTTACAAAGGCCTGCTGTACATATAAAATAATTGCCTGTCTATTCTTTTGACTTTAAAACAATTAAAGCCACGACATAAAGCATAGCCAATAAGCAATAAACTGGACAATCAAAACTCTTCACAGTCTGATCCAGGCACACATATGGCATAGATAACTAGCCAAACGACGACACTCTAATTGAAGGACATAGAGCACAAATTTTGAAAAAGTATTCTTTGTTTACTTCACATTCTACAACATAATTTTTTTCTGAATCACAACTTTGAATTTTGATTTTCGACACGGCGTGTTCAAGTGTCTTGATTGCTACCACGGAAAATCATATTTACCACTTCGTTGTGGCTAGTTATCTGCATAAAAGTTGTTTCTGAAACTGATAACGTTTCTTCTTCCGTTTCTTTGTACGTTAACACAGAATCCATAGATAACTTCGAGACACATAAAGAATCTCCCATGAAGCCCCAAGGCCCGTGTGAGCCCCAAAACAAAGTCTCGTGGTGTTACCATTCAAATGAAAACTTTTCAGTAGTTCTCTCCCAGCATACGTTTAATTTTTCATGTTTTTGTAAAATAAAATTTCTGATTTTGTCATAAATTTTGTTTCAAGCTTTTACCAGTTTATGGTGCTCTCCTATCGCAGGCCAAATCAGAGTTCATCACATTCAGCAAAAAACAACTATAATATAGTAAGCTATAATGTACGTAGCAAAGCTGAAGCAACTCCGTGGTTTTAGTAATTAAGACAAACGAACATAGAGCCCTGAAGCTGTCCAAAAACCTTACCTCGATTTTCATTCGCCATTTTAGAAACGAGCTGGGAATTGGGCCGAGTTAACTTTCGCCAAGACCTCTAGGATTGTAACTAGGGACAGAGAAAAAAAACTGGCCAATAGCTGACCGGCTTGTCCCCAGTTACAATCCAAGAAACATTTGCGGGTCGCATTTTGGTTTAGTTCGCTTCTCGTTCCTAAAGTGGTGAATTGGCACAGCTGGGCTCCTGACAGCCGCTATTAGTTTTAAAGTGGGTACGTTGGACCATTCATCTATTATTTCGTTAATGAAAGATTAGTAAATATCTCCTCCTGATAGCTTCGTGGTGCCCTTACCAAAATCATGATCGTTCTGTTGTAGAAACTGATAGTTAGCAGAGCAGGTTTTTGAGGGATATTGGAAAGATTTGATTACGAGATAAATGGTGTTCAAAGCGATCCTTGATCAGTCATTCATGGAATTAAAGGAGCATACTCTCTTTTATCCAGCAGTGAGTGTCTCCGACATGTACCTAATATAGGGTTTTTCATCGGTAAAAACATCTTTTCTTTTATAACGCTAATAAATGGAATAGTGTCTAGTAGACACAAGTAGTGTCCAGGTCCCACTCTGCTTGGTAGCAGCTTCCTGCGGGGGTGACGTAATGCTGTTGTGGGAATGGTGGTTTAGGGTATGATTCCTTCGGCATGGGGAGAAGCTGCTGGCTTGCGTGCGGGCTCACGGGCTTAGGTTCCCTGCACTCAGGTTTGATGTACGGTTTCTGCGAGTCTGGAAAGGCCATGCTGAAGAGAGCTTCGGGACTGCAGACAAATTTATACACATAGCGCTCTCCGGCGACCTTCTGCATGATTCCCTTCTCGTAGTAGTAGCGAAGAGAACGACTAAGCTTGTCATAATTCATAGCTGGACGGTTCTTTTGAATGCCCCATCTCCGGGCCACCTCCTCGGGATCAATAAGTTTGAACTCCATTCCACGCCCTGTCCACGCGATAAACGAGGAACATTCGGGTTCGTCTAAGAGGGCTACTAGAAACTGCCAAAGCTGTAATGAGCCCCTTCTTTGAAAGGCCCTTGGTTCTGGATACGCGACGCCATTTGGTACTTTAAATTCAGGAGCTAAAAGTTAGAGAAGATATATGTGTGTGTTAGTTCAATAGTCCGCCAGTTTCGAGTTCGTCATGACTGCTGAATTAAAGAAATGAAGACACATTTTTTACAGGCTTAGCCTCCATCTGAAGTAAATATATTCACCAATTCCAACGAGAAAAAGACCTGTTTACTGCTCTGTCTATTGTATATATTCAAATTTCAAACACTTACTTGCCGGAATTTCTGAATATGTTACTTTAAGTCGAGGCTAACCCTGTATGAATCTGTCGTTAATGCTTGTATTCAGCGGTAATTTTTAATTTGAAACTGGTCAATTGTCGTTGCTTTTTTTTCCGAATAAAGGGACGAGACGTAGAAGTTGCGAATGATCCAAACACCAGAGAGCGGGACGAAAGAAGAAAACTTAGGGAAAAATATTCATTGTCTGATAGTCGCTCCGTTATCAATACAGGCACATCAAACTATGACAAACCTTTCGTCATAATACGAAACTTTGAAAAGAGCTGCGGCATATACTGAATTCAGCAATTATATGGAATAATGTGAATTTACTGGTAGAAGAAACCGTGCAGGTGCATTGCAATACATTGAAATATGAAAATAAGTATAGCAGGAGTTTCTTAGCCAAAATTGCTGAGGGAAATTATTTCAAGAATGTCAAGGAACAAGTCATTCGACTTCAGAGCAAGGTTAAAAAATACCATAATATACCATAATGCTCTTTGTTTGTCACCACAAAATTTTGCATAAACATTGTTTTCAGTTTCTCTTGGGACCGTTTTAACTCCCAAGAGAAACAGAATACAATGCTTACGCAAAATTTTGTGGTGACAAACAAAGAGCATTATGGTATGTTATGGTATTTTCTGGAGTGGTCAATTTATAGTACCTTTTAAAGAACAGCATGATTAGCCATCTACTTTGTTTTTTAAGAATCAGCAAACATTAATATTACTTGTCTCTAGATTTCGAATTGGTGGCTAGTTCAAATTCAGAACGAGTCGACATTTTCAGGTGAGGGTAGGCATGGCTTGCGGAATGACTTAATTATGTGGAATGTAATATATGCAAAATGACCCAGGGAAATAAATTAAACTGAAAAGTGCGTCCTTTTTGGCACCAATCAATTTGCGAACGCAGCCGCTGTTTTAATGTCAAGAAGGTTCATTGTCGATTAGCCTTTTCCACACAGCCACAAAGATTCTTCTTGCCTTTATGTCCTTTATGAGTCGGGCTGCGTGGCAGCACCGATACTACAGCACGAAAGTCAGCCATTGAAGAACAGATGTTTTGGAAGGTAACGCTCTCTTCTACTTAATTAATTTTTTTCTGCAAAAGATGTTTGCACGATTAACTTTACAGTTTCCTTTTACCTATATTTGTATTTGCAACCGCGTGAGCAGTGCTTCTTTTTCAGACGGTGGGTTACGTGATCGTGACATAATATTCAGAGATGAAAACGGATCTTGTATTTGGTTTCCTTAGCTGCTTGGTTAAGTTTCCGGCACGCGAAGCTAACAGCTGGCGGAAAAGGGCGAGTTTGAATCCTGGCAATTGAGTATGTGTCTTTTTTTCTTTTTTTTCCCCCTTCCTACCGTTTAAGATCAATTTCATTTCACGATCAAACGCACACACTTACACAAACAAGGAAGGAGCGAAGACATGCGGAAAGGCCGAAGGAGACAGAGAGCAGTCCGCTTCACTCGATTTCTGGATTACAGATTAGTGTTTGACTCGGGGCGTTCATTTAGTCTTAAATATGATCTGATCTGTTCACCGTAGTAATTAATAATCCCTAGAATTGTAGCTAGCTCGACTTCACGTTCAACAACCGTTCTTTTCCCTCTAGCGTTTTGAAAAAAATGACTTTGTTACATTTGTGGGCAGAAAGAGAGAAACTATTGTCGAAAGCAACAAAAATAAATTAAGTGTTACATAGACACGAATGCAGTAAAGCTTATCGCTAGTTTCTGCTCTGACTTGTTGGTTTAAGCCAGCAGTAATAAATGGACCAGCAAAAACGTTGCTCACTCAAATTGGCGCCAAAAAAGGCGCGGTAAAGACGAACGCATGTTTTTCAGTTTAATTTATTTCTTTGCGCCATTTTCCATATTTTACATTCCGCATAATTATGTTATTCGGCAAGCCGTGCCACATGCCATTCCGCAAACTCACTCCGCCTTTTACCCTCACCGGAAATTTTCGAAATTTTCAAAACAATTTCACAGCTGAAGTTTCAAGGACTTTCCAATTACGGACTTCTGCTCCAAAGATTTCTCTTAATTTTTTTCGGGAAACCTATTAATATATCCGATACCAGAAATTTCATTAAAAAATATCAGCAACATTTTTTACTAAATGCGATTTCTTTGAACAGTACGTTACAGTAGGGTCACTTAAGCGGTAATTTCGTAAAGAATACCTATCACCAGTGAAAACGGTAATTTTGCAGAATCTGGACGGTCCCCAAATTTGTTGAATTCATAAGAGCGAAAGAGAAAGTTCTAAAAACATGAAGCTTGAGTAAACAACTGACATGTCGAGACTAAACCTCGAAATGACGTCTGAGAAACGAGCAAAGAAATTCCATGCTTATGACGTGTCTCTACCAAGATCTGAGCAGTGCTTCTGATTGGTCGTGCTGCATGGGAAATTTGCTTCAACCAATCAGAAGCACTACCCAGATCTTTGTAGTGATGCATCATATGTATGGAATCTCAGACGTCATTTCGCGAAGAAGCCAGTGGTGGTGTCGCAAAATATCGGCTGTTTTCTCTGGCTACGCATTTTCAAACTGGAGCCTTTTTTCGTTTTCATGGAAAAACTAAAATTTGTTTTTTTTTTCTTTAAAACCAGGTGGGAGTCCGAAAGCATTTAATTAATTGTATTTAACGATGCTTTAGTTGGTCAGGTCGGGTGGTGCGGTCAACTGAATTTTTAAAGCAAAATATCATTTAGGCCTAAAACAAAATTGAAAAGAAACAAAGAGCAGTGAAGCACTGCTGCCCAGCTTGTAAGCTGGCCATGAATGGAAGAAAAACATCCTCAAAGCGGTATAGAGAGGAGAAGTATGACGTCACGTCACCATGGTAGCAATAATAAAGGATTAAATTGACTGCAAAAACCGTGGACGAAGACCCTGCTAGTTGTAAACGTTAGATCTCTAGAAAAGAGATCTAATTAGCCAAAATATAAAGAATCAAAAACGAGAAGTCCAAAAGACTACTGCAAAGCTGATTCATAACAATATTTCGGCTGGCCATTCCAGCCTTCTTCAGGTTCACAGATGTTTCTGAACTTATGTAGCAATCACAATATTATATAGATGGAGAATGTCGCAATAAACATTGTTTGAAAGGGAGAGGCGGAAATGACGTACAACACAAAAAGTGGAAAGGAAAAATACTAAGGATATGGATTACAATAATTTGTCACGGTCGTTTAGGTTCAACACTCATGGCCTTATCTATCAAATGCGACTCCCTGGCCTTACGAACTGAGTAACGTGAAGAATGAATTTTCTCTAGTGGGATTAGCTGCATGTCAGTATGAGAATGGTTAGAGTGAAAGAGAAAGTGTTCAGAAACAGAAGTGGGTTTAGATTTAATGTTAGTTTTGTCGACTGCACGTCTGTGTTCGTTAAATCTGTCCTTGTTACCATGGTAGCACTATTTCTGTATGACAGCAAAACCAACGACGACGGCGACGGAAAGAGAACGTCAAAAAAGTAAAAAGTTTTTATTGACAAAACAACAAATTTGCACGTGCATCACCCTATTTTGTACATTTGTTTGCCGTCGTTGCACCCCTGCGACATGAAAATTCCTGATTTCACACCCTCGCTTAATGAAGTCGTCGAACGCAGCACAAAAGTTGTCTTTTTCCTTTTCTAAACTTAGACACTGTCCTTTCGGATTCAACCCGAGAAAATTTCGCCAACATTTGCCAAATTAATTGAAACTGAATAAGATCGATGAAAGTTTGAAGCTGTGCGAATTCACTTTGTAAGTGACGTTTTCGGTTTGTTTTCTCCCCAAAATTTTGCTACCTTGGAAACGTGACGTAACAACTTCTCCTCTCTATTTCAATTAACATATAGAAGGTCTCAATGCATCCTCGAAGACCCAGGGACAGTCAGTCGCGCCGGGAGAAAAGGCGTGTCGAAGTTTTCAAGCACAGGCGGAAGAGCCCCTGGGTACCCTATCAAGCACAATAGCCGTGGTGTAGGAACACATGAAAAGAACTCAAGACATGCTGTTCGCCGATTGGGCACATTAATACAAAGCATTTTTTGTGCCCAATCAGGAGCCAGCATTCGCTTGACCGTTTGGAAATGGTCCGGTGAGAGTCGGTATTCAGGAGCTCTTCCGCCCGTGCTCGAAATTCCAAATATTCCCCAGTTACCTGTCAACGTCTTGATCAATCAACTGATTTAATTTAAAGATCATGAAATATATTTCAGCTTGCTTTGACTTTCGCGACGAATTATTAAAAAAGTAGTTTAATTGTCCGGTGATTAAATTTTAGTTCTTAGTTTTAAAACATAATTATAAGTAGCTTTTGCAATGCTGTATGTACTTGTACGGTCCTGCAAATAAAGCTTGTTGTTGTTGTTGAAAACTTTCGTCGAGCTTTTTCTCCCTGCCCGACTCACTGCCCATGGGTGTCTAGGATGGTCTGAATGGGTTTCACTGTCAGCCGTCAAAAGGCCGAAAATTTAACCGTCAACCCAGCCTAGTCAAAAATGTTGCTAGGCTTCTCGACACTTAGCAACCAAGGAAAGAAATAAACAACTAGAAGTTAAAGCGAAAACTTTGAGGGGGGGGGGGAAGTGGTCATTCTTCCCCCTCCCGGGTAGTAGACTTAAAGTGATGCGGGGATAAAACTAAGCGCTGAATGCCGTGATTGTCCCGAAACAATGAGGCAAAACATTTGCCGTTATTTCCTATTTTCGCATCCGGACGTTTGCACTAATGTTTTTGGAAAGCTGGTGCTTCGTTTAAGAAGCACGACATATTGTATACCAGGTATAGAGAATTGCATTAACAAAGTGCGCTGTTTAAACGTCATCTGATGATTTTCGTGATAAAATCGTTCTTTTGACACACCCATGCATAGAAAACATTCTAGAAGGAAACAAAGTCCCTGCTTCTATTTTAACGAATTTTATAAACATTTCATGCTGTAAGTCCTCAGTGCTTTAATCGCCGTGCAGTTTCTCGATGCCCTACTCACAATTTTGTAGTAGCATATAGTTTGAATTCTTCTCGCCGACTTCAGGCTTTATTACCAGACGAAACTTCATTTCATTTCTTTATGTAAATGCTCCTTTTTTAAAACTTACATTTCGATGGCTTTTATTTACCTCAATACGGATAACATTGCTTGAAAAACAGAAATGGTAAAAAGAATCGGCAGATACTTGTTCTCCTTACACACTTCTTTTTCTCCCCTCTTTTTTCTTAGTCTCTTAGAACGCTAATTTTTACCGTGAGCATTTTTTATGGCCAAACTCCTCCTACTTTTTCTGCATGTATCATGACAGACCATTCTGTAAATGCCCGGTGCTAGGCTACTGTAAGTTTTGTGGCAAATAGAATGATACAACAATCTCACTTCTTTATTGAAATACCTTCCTTCGAAACATCACCAGCCTTTTTCAAATCTTTATTTCCTCAAAATATTGAACATAAACGGCGCTTTTTACAACAGCTATACGTAGTTATTTTTTGTTACATTAAATTTAATAAATACTTAAAGTATATTTTGTAGTTTGGAATTTTTTAAGTCGATTGTATTACCTTAAACCGAAAAAAAACCGAAAAAGTGCGTAGATCCGAAAGACGTGAGAGGCAAATTAAAAAATTCTCACAAAAGAGGAGCTGCATTTCAGCTGTTGTTCATATGTGGAAACGAGTTAAAAGCTAAGAGCAGCGAAAAGTCATGTTTATGCGAATTGGTCCAGAATTTCTAGAGCTTATCATATAGAAAATAGGACGAAACGTTATTAATTACAAGAAAACGCCATTAGCTGGAAATACTTGACAGACGTGCGCCCGAAGATATGAAATGGTTCTTCACTCAGCCATTGATATTCAAAACACTTAGACTCGTGATTAAGAAACTTCAACGCGGCAGATGACGCATTTGTGTGGAGCATAAAGACGTTCTGTTTGCATAATATAGCGAGTAAGTGATTTTTTTATCGCTACGTCCAAAGTTTCACGGGCAATTTTGTAAAATTGCGTTCTTCGCGTGTGGGTTAATTTAGCAATCGGTGGGTGATCCCTGCGAGCGAAAACGTTTGCATTTCACGTTTTAATTAAGTTACAAAACGAAAATAACAAATAAAAGATGAAAATTAATCTTGCGACGGACAAAGTTTCCTTAACTGAAATACAAATCAAATGGTTTTGACATTTGTGACGACTTGAGAGAAGTTTGGCGTCACCGTGTTTAATTTCCCTAAAAGTAATTTACCTTCTAATTATTCAAAAAAAAAGAGAAAAAAAAGAGCAAAGAGGCGATGCTTTCTAGAAAAAACGCGGAATCTGATTAAGAAAAACATCGCGTTCCCCACTGTTTTTTGGACAAAAACGTATTCACACAAACCTAGCTGATTTGGTATTTATTGTCTCGTCTCACTGTTTCAAGTGCTGAGTAACATCCGGGCCTTTAAAATTGGCTTCGCACTCCCATTTTGAAATCTTGTTTGCCATAAAGCTTAGCGATCTAGTTGAACATCTCTTGCAGAGAAACTCGTCCTTTTCAAGAATATTTATGTCTTAATCGGCAAGAAAACTTCCTGGAATTAATTGATGATATAGAATCGCAAAGGAGGCGAATTTTCGACCAATTTAAGCAATTAAATGTTAGCGGCTAGGTGCACTTTCTTAAAGCCTCATTCTTTGGGCAAAAATTGATCGAGAAAAAAGAATGGTTAAGCAAAGATTACATTGTAACTTTTATCCGGAAAACGGTTCTCTTCGTTTAATGACGGCGTAATGGCAAAGTGGCTGATAAATATCTGAACTGCGTTCGAAGCGCATCTTTTTCAATTTGCGTAGGGTCGCTTGCTGTTTTTATGCCATTGACAGTAATTAGGGCCGCGGATGATAGATAGCAAGTCAGCTTTTAAAGCGTGTTTCATATCGCGATTTATCAGCACTGTATATGGAATTTTGTCAGACTTCACGGGCTTATCATTAAATATCAGTTTAAAGTAGAATTCAACACCTTGGAAAGGCCCTTGTACACAAAAACACCGCTAATGCTATAAACTTTTGGGAAACTAAACGAGGAACCGTTCCCTTTTAAAATACTTCTTTTTTATCGGCGCGTGTGTGGAGCGACAGGTGTTAAACAACGTTTAGATGGTTTTTTTCTCCTCTCATTTTTGACATGGGGTAATAATAGAGAAATATAGATGCTAGATATAAGACGCTGTGTGATATGCCGAATATATTTTGTTGTCAGATGGAGTTGAGCTGTATTAATCGTATTAATTTGACGAGCAGTATTCTTCCGCTTACTGAAGTAGTTTTACAAATATTTTCTCATGTACGTTGATGCTCAGTTTAGCGTCATTTTTAAAGAAAAAAGCGATAGAAAATGCTGCGAAACAAACTTTATTTCAAATACACAGCTATAGGCATGGGAAAATGAATTTCTCCGATCACAAGTGAGTAAACTTCCACCGAAGAAAAAGAGAGAAAATTTGCGTTTTTTTAACTCACCGTCTCTGTAACTTGTCTTGTGATCTTTGAAGTCCGGGTATTTGTGATATCTATCTGTATACGCTAATGGCTCGTCGTAAAACGAGTGCACGTTTGGGTCGTAAACAGCAGCTAGAAACAGAGCATAGAAAAAAAAAAAAAGTAAATTTACGGCGCTATTTGGAAATAATTCAATTTTAGATTAAGACAAAGATCACAAAGAATATTTCCCTTTAAAAAAAATAATAAAATAAAATAACGACACCCTCCCTGCACTGTTATTACACCAAAATCAAGCAAGAAGAAGGGAAAAAAAACTGACCGAATAGCTGAGTGTAAGCCATCTTAATGCCGTACATCCCGACTTTGGCACGCTAGATGAATGCAACATTTTTAAATACCGGAGACTTATTATTCGGTAACTCGTAAGCACAGGTTGAATTTTTGTTTTTTAGTCATGTCCGGTCGTATTTTAGCTCAAATAAACGACAAATAGTCAGTGTTTTGATCAAAGGGACATCGCGGATCTCTCGTGAGCCGAGGATAAAGGGGCTAGATATCATTTACTAAACTTTCCATATTAAATACCACTTTGTCACTAGCATTACAATATTTTTCATGCCAAGCGGATTTAACATTACGTACGTCCGTTCGATAACAGAAAAGTTTAAACAGGAAAGGAAAAGACCTTGTCGCCTAGGAGCTACAAATCGCCCAGGAATGTCCGCCAAATATCGCGCTCAACTTGATTCGAGCGCGGATTATAAACTCATCCTTTGCTCGTTATTCTTCAAAAGAAGAAGATTACCCTGTTAATACAAAAATCTCGAGCTTGTAATGTCGCCAGTCTCTTTTAGTTTCAAAGAAAGGAGCAAAAATTAAACCGTTTCCACTTTTCGGAGTGTTTTAAAGTATAGACTCTTAAATCTCAAATCGTTTCCGCCCTTTCTTGTTGACACATTGCTTCCCGTTTGCCATGGTAAATATCCTGTCTTTGGTATAAATTGAGGCTTCTCTTCCTCTTTATTCCAATATTCTTATGTATTTCAAGACCTTGAACATTTTTCAAGAGAATTTTCTCGTTAAAACAAAAATTTCGTTGTAAGCGGAGAAAACTTTGCACTCACATAAGTTTTTGTATAGCGGAGCGATCGTCAAAACAAATTGCAACAAACTAGTGGAAGCGTCGTTTTTCCAGCGACTAAAATGGCTCTTTTGAAAACAAATCTACAGAAGAATATGAATTTTTGGAAAGCCTTTATTCATTCATGCTTTTGAGAGCAGAAATCCCATGCAAGGGAAGTCAAAAGATCAAGCAGTTCTTGGGAAAGAGTGATGGAAAGCCGTGAAGTATTGCCTCAATTTGGCAAGCAAAATTCTGCCGCTCTTGGCGAGGGGTTCACAGCATGCTACGATGATTAACAACAGAGGTCCGCAAAATTACCCTAACATTGTTTTGAAGAGGAATTATAGAAGTTTTTATTTCATAACGAGGAGGATCTGTCTCTCTTCAAGACTTTCAAACGAAGCGTTTTCAAGGCAAGCCAGGTGATCTTATTGCGCCCGAAGGTTTTCCGATATTTGACGGATTGAATTTAACAGAGATATGGCACTTCTTTTCTTCACGTTTGCAGATCGTGAAATATATTGACAGTGTTTTGTATGCAAAAGTTCTTTTTTTGTACATCAAAGCACACGATTCATTATCATCTTCACGGTAGATCTACACTTTCTATATAGCAGTGTTCACCGTGAAAGGACAAATTCAATTGACACTTTTTAAACTACGACTTATTGAGTTCTGAGGAAAGTGTTTCATTTAGCTATGATCGAGCCAAACTATCTACTTATTTAATTAACTGGATGTAAAGAGCTGAAAATCGCATGCACAAGGACAAAAAAGTAGACCCGTCAAATTGTCCACTATTTCTCTGTTTTTGATTTCTCGTGATCGCTCAAGATCGAAATCATTCGAAACCCTTCATTAATGCTTTCTCGCGGACGTGCGCAGAATTCTCTTCAAGAACTGTCTTTAAAGTTAACGCCAACAAGCGCAACTCATAAATTCCCTTCCAAACACCAACACAACCTCTTTTATTGTGGAATAAAAATTAATACAGTAAAGATAGGAAAGTGTTGTTATTTCATTTAATCCGCAATGCTCTTTTTTGTACAGGCTTCGCGATCGTTAAAAGAGGGACAAATCTATTTTTCCTCATTTGAGCGCAATTGGGAAATTAAAAGGTCGTGTATACCACTTTTGCCACTAATTTCCAGCCGGTAAGAGGGAATTTTTTTTGTGCGTATTCAAAAGATATTCGGAGGAAAAGAGCCCTAAAACGATAATCAGGCGAAATTTTACCCTATTCAACAAGAAGTACACCTGCCCCGTAATTGTGAATTTAAACGACTGCCTTGCACCGAGCAAATTAAATTACTTTTGACAATGTCGGTTAAATGGCCCTCAAAAACTAAACTAATTTTAAAAAGTTTGGAAAAGACCTATCATATTTTACCATGCTTCAAGGCTTAAAATGCCCTGCTGCATCTTCCGATGTCAAGGTATAATTTAATTAGAAAAATATAATATGCAAACAAGGGCATCGACTGTGTGAAATCTGAGTAGCAAACTTGGATTGAGGTCTTAGGGGCAGAGTGAATTAAAGAAACAGTATTAAGGGGGTGAATCTTTGGACTAACCTAAGCATCATTTCAAATGTAAACTACAGGATATTCTTAAGACTTTTGAAAAATGTTTTACCTCAATTAGTGCGTATTTTTTTTGTTGAGAATTTTAAGTGGGAGACAAGCATCATAACTCACACAAAACAAGGACGAATGCAAAACAAGAAGAAAAAAGACCTAAATTTCCGTTGGAAATCAAACAGATTGAAGTAAGAAAGAGACAAGGCAAGAAAACTAAAGAAAAAAGCGCAGAGAACTAATTGGGAAAAATAAGAAGCATCTGGCCTAGATCTGTGACAGTTCATATGTGTTTGCCGAGAAAATATTAAAGTGATGCTCCAATCATCCCCCCAAAAAACATCTGCCTGGCAAATTCGAGATATTGTGTTCAGTTCACTCCATAACAATTAAAATTAATTTCAACATTTTCTATCATAAAATCAAAGCTCTATGAATATTCATAATGTGTGGGCTATCAAACTGTCTAATTAGAATGAAAAACAATTCACCGAGTGCTATTTCACAATGGAAAAAACTATACTGATATACCTTCGCTTGAAGATGTTGGTAATCCGTAACATTCGGCTTGTTGATGTGTTTGATGGTGAAAAGTCGCGAAGTTCTGTAAGCGTTCTGTTAAAAAAAGGGAAAAAAAATGAAGAAAAAAGAACGAAATTAAATGGTGAAAATTTCAGCTCAGAGCATAAGATTCATTAGTGCTTTCATCACACAAATATGTATACTTTATCAAAGAGCCAAAACAAAAGAGCAAACCCTAAAAAGTTTACAACATGTTCGTCAACTAACAGTTTTCACAAAAAACGTGAACAGCTAGCCGATTTTAGCAGTTTTCTCGACTCCACGTGACAACTTAAGCACGCTGTTAATCTTCCCGGGGAATTCAGTTTGAAAAACTGTAGTAATTGCCGTAAAGATAGCAGAAAGAGCTTATTAAAATATATTTTTCACTGTTCATAAAAATTTCATTCCTAAATGAGTGGAAAAGAATTAACTGGCAATAGGTGGTCGAGAATTTAAAAATTTCTTTACGTTTGTCAGTGGGGGAAAGATATTAAATAAAATGTGATACAGGCCAACAAAAGTGTTTCTCTCAACAAGTGTACATTTCAAGTGAGGAAAAAAATTAAATTAGCGCTAGAAAAAAGTGGAGTTGATTTTATTATCTCCAAGAAAGAAACTGAAGGAGAAAGCGAAAAAAAATTATTGTAAATTAATCAGACAACAGATAGAAAAATAGCAACTTTTGATAATATTAAAAAATTGTAGGTAATTCAAGTGAAAGTTCTTAAATCATTAAAAAACAAAACTTATGATACTAAAGGAAATATTTTTTTTATAGTGCACAGCTAACCTTGTTCGTAGGGATTTTCACAAGTTGTATAATCAATTGGTTCTTGCTTGATTGTGGGATAGCTAGTCGGCGAAGATTCGAACGGGGAACTTTCATACGCTGCTGCGAGCTGTCTGTAACCCTTCATGCAGTGAAAACTTGAAGGCTGTGTCGAGCAGGTGTACACAAGAGGAGAACTGCTTGAAGCATGGTTTTCACTTATCAGTCTCATATAGGAGGAACTGTCGCTGGTCTTGTCCATCTTCACTTGCTTCTCGAAGGTTGTGCGTCTGTGTTGTTCACTTTCCTGGCAGGCGCGCTCACGGGGCTCCGACTTAATCTGTATGGCATAGCTGCCTACAAAACGAGGGAAAATATACCTCTAGACAAAAATGCCTATTCATTTTAAAAACAAAACTAACGTTATGAATGGCCTAAACAAAAAAAGAATGCCTTATTTACATAATGAAAAAATGGGATGGGGTTGACCAAGCAAAACAAGGACAAATGTACAACTTTTGTTGGCAAAATAATACGCGCGGCGTTTGTATTATACCCACGACGCAAGCCCCACTAGAAAACAAGAGAAAAACGGTTATTTAACCTCATCTTTGACAAATAGAGACCTTGAAAATATTCATGGATATTTAAGGCCATTTATCGGCGCGGATCCTTTGATGCGGCTTTTAAAGGCTGTACTCCAGTGAGAGACGCAAAAAAATTTATGAGCATCGCTACATTACAGCGGTGTTTTAAGGCAAATGTATAAATAAACCCCGAGGCAAAAATTTAGGGTCGAAGAGCTATCAAAGATAACGCTAATTGCCTAGCCATTTCAGTGGCTAGAAATCGAAAGTATAGCACGTGTTTACCGTCAAAATTCTACTTAATTAACGTTCATCTAACAACTTCTCAGACGAGTTGCGTGTAAAAAATTCTCCAGCTATCCAAGCCTTGGAAACGAGGGAAAACGCATGCAGGGTTATGATTGAGGTATTTCTTAACTTGTTCCTTCCCTATACCTGTTGCTTACTCAAAAACGTACATTTAATTTGCACAAAATATTTTTTGAGGTAACTCTACATTCTACTTTGACAGCTACCTTCTGATTTCAGATTTGTCGAGCTTCCTTCAATCTCTGGAACGAACTGTTCATCCGTTGTGTTGGGTTGGTAGGGACGAGCTGAAAAGGCCAAACACACAAAAACAAAAGAAAATTAAACGTTTTTGCCACTAAAATCTAAGTTTAATGAATTCGGCGGTTTTTCATCAATTATTTAGTATGTTTCATGCTCAACGGTAATAAAATTATCTCCGAGTCACCGCAAACTTCACGTAAAATCATACGTTACTTTTAATACCTTCAATCATCCAATGCTCTTGCATTTGACACAGATCTTGAAACAATTCTAACAAGAAAAAAAAAAAAATAAAACAGCGTTCCTTGTTGAGGAAGTTTCCTTGACGCCACAGAACATCGCAGACGAGAAGCGAGTATCATAGTGATAGACTGGAAGAGGGAATTACCTTGTGAGTCTATTGAAAGATTTTCACCTTGTCCGCGTATTCTCTCTGCGGGACTGCAAGACCTGCGATCGGGATATGTGTTACGTAGTGAAATCTGCTGAGAATAAATTTAATATCGAAGTGAGTAGATTCAACCGCGTTTGACGTGCGTAAAGCCAAGCAATCTTTTACCTGTGGGTACATATGAGGAACTTCTTGGTCATACAACGAATCGCACTGGTACATTATACTCGATGTGTAATCTACACACCGTGTATTAAGTTCTTGCGATGCTGTAACCACTGACGAACTATCAAACCTCTGTTTGGCCACTTAAAAGTAATAAATCTGGTAGAATTGAAATGAAAACTTTAAAGACGAGTCCCAAGTCAGTATGAATTAATTTTAGCTTTGTAGTAAAAAGAATGGCAAATGGTGCCTCAATCTACAGTGTATTATTCGGCGGACTTTGTCACTTCACGCAAGATCATAGTTGTATTTTTTTGGCTGTTCGCTTTTGATCAAATCTTTCATTTATAGCGAACGCGCTTCTCATTGGCTCACCAATTTTCTCCTTTTGATGTATGATTGGTCATTTGCAAGTAGCATTTCAGCAAGTGTCAATTTCTGTCTATTGACCAATCAAAACAATGAAAACAATTAGTCCCATTTGGCACACGTTAGCTGTCGATGCGAATTTTGCAGCGCGTGCCTCAATTGTCAATCTGCTATACCACTAATATACCGTCATCATTTTCATACACAGTATAAAAAAAACATGAAGACGGATAAATCCAGACGCCTCTGCAATGAATAACGTTGCTTGCCTCTTAATGCCAGCAGCGAGTGAGTTCCGTTTGCAGACGCGAGATTACAAAAAGACAAATTTCAAATAGTTGTTTATTTTGTCCTTTCTGGTGAAAATACAAAATGCGTGCAATTTAATTTACAGTTCAAACCCCGGGGGTGGTACCGTGGGGAGTTCGAGGACATCGAATGACTGAAGGGCGCGCAAAGTGGGCTTTACAATCATTTAGCACAGTGAATACGAAATCCTGATGAGAGATGATTTTAATGCTCCTCCTGAAAAGAGGCTAAGCTTTTAAACAAAAAACCCCGTGGAACCCCAACATCAAGCACGCTAATTGGTATTGTGTGACGAGAAAATGAGTTAGAATTTTATTGTTAGGCTTAAATACAGGTGCCGGCCAGATTCAGTGTTTCATCAATTCAAAAAAAAAAAAAACTCCTTCTCAAACTTGGCGATTATATTAGCAAACAATCTTTGACTGTTTTTATAATTTCTGACGACAAATTAACGAAAGAAATTTTATCAAAAATAATTTCTAAATAACCAGGGTCTCAACATTTTCGCAATTTATTTCTGTAGTAAATGAATTTCTGAAACTTCGAGAGTAGCTTGCTGTTTCTTGTGAATTTTTTCCCACGGTTAAAAGGGATTGATGAGAAAAGATACACGAGCTTTTCTCCCCAAATTCTCCAAAAGTTGGACATTTTCAACTGCTCAGCAAACGTATTGTCCAGCTTTCTATCGTTAAAGTGGCATTTATTTCCGGGTCTTGCATATGCGCTGGTTTTGTTTGATCAAGCTATCAGCGCTGTATTGAGCCTTTCTCATTCCCTTCTAGATGCTAGAATTAGCGACGGCAGCGTTCATTATCATCTTTACTGTACCTCTTGCTAGTTTGATCGAGTTTTTATAGGTCGCTGTGGTATTTGTGTACGGTACGTAAAAACTTTCGTGTATCGCATTTACGCAGGATATGTCCCACGTCAAAGCTGAAACACAACATCATGGATTGTACCCGTCAAATGCGTGCCGCTTATGTACGTCAACCGCCTCGCAAAGTTCACGTCACGCATTTTAGCGGGAGATTTTAACAAAAAACGCGTTGTCACGTATCGAAAATGACATACAGCTAACCGAAAATAAGAGATTTTTTTCTATGGAAATAAAAAGAGGAATAACGTTTTAAAAGGGTCTTAGTGTCGTAACTTATCAATATTCGAAAGAGCAAGGGTTTTTATCAACACAAGCTGCAAATGATCAATTTTTCAATAAATAAAACACAATCGGAGACTATAGAACGCGGGTTAATATGCACAAAATTGGAATTTGAAAAACAAAAACAATCTCATCATTTGATATTTCCGAGAAAATTCGCCTTTTTTCAAAAGTTAAAATGTTTAATTCTGACATGGAGTGCATTGTAACTGTACTGCGGTTTACGCTTTAATAACTCGCTGTCTTTATTAAAAACACCGACTACTTATTTACAATGATAGCTAAATACATGTTAAGCCGAAGAAAATGTTCTTGGAATAAAAACTAATCTCCTTTCTTTTCTGTGTTTCTTTTATGAACGAGATTCCTTTTTGTGAGAGGCAGAGAAAATAAGTGTTAAACGGCTCGTCTTTTAGTAGCTTCGACATGAAAAACATGGCCAGTTAATTCTAGCATCCGTACACCTTTAGTAAACAAGCGTTTCGCAGACTAATCTAATGAGACTGTGTTTTAGGGCACTCTTGTATTGACTGGACGTGACTGTACAGAGCATTTAAGTCGCTATCATTTGGGATTTGAACTACAGACAAGCGCCACCTGAATCAAACTGATAAAAAAAAATTAGAAATTCAGTCGCCAAGACCTGTGAAAATCTTAGATGCTAGCAGCTGCAATACGAGTTTACCCTTTCTTTCTTTTACAATATCTCTAATAAGGCCTAGGCTTTGTTCTCAGCGAAAAAACGAAAATTATGGACACACTCCCTCTCGATTGAAATTCCTTACGATTTTCACAAATCGCGAACCCGAATTTGATAATTACAGCTCAAATTTGCTAGTAAGAACTTCCTTTTTGCCGGCATATTTGGCAACTGCTTATACAGTGGGAGTTAATTTTATTCACAAATTTAATTTATTGAAGAGTTTTTCTATAGCGTTTGTTGTTTTTTTGCGGCAGAAAGCCTAAATGTTTACATGTACGCGTTCGAGTTACTACCGCGAGAGACAATGTTAAAAACACTTGGGGTTTGTTGCGTGCCTTTCACCAGGGAAGAGCAGTTTTTTTTCTAAGTCGCCGCAACATTTGCCATCAAAGAAAGATTTCTTGTTACGTGTAAAATGTTTGCTTATATTACAATCCCCAAAAGAAAGACATATTCGACACTTTCTCTAAAATTAAACCTGCCATCAAAAATCTCCCGTTTACTTCTAAATTTTTCGCACTTGTAGAACAATAAAAGATCATTTGTAACTTCCACTTATCAAAGCCCAAAAAGAACTGAACTGCTTCGTCGTGAAACGAAAAATGATGGAGAATTATTCTTTTGGAAGCAATACAGAAATGGAAAGGATAATGGTTTAGTTCACAAGTCAGTGACAGCATACAACGACAATAGCGCCAACATGCGATTTTCTTTACACCTGTTGTGAACCGAAATGCGCATGCTTAGCTAAAATTGAAAAAAAATTGTTACCTCCTAAGGCTACTATTGTGTTTCTTAAAGGTTCTTTTACATCGTAAAGATTTTTTTCAAGAGAGCATACGCCAAAATTTCTAGAAGATGTGGCCGTGTTTTGGTCACATAAATTGACCGCATACAGACCTGGAATAGGCCTGTTTTGAGAATGATGCAGATTAAGAACATTAGAATATTTAATTAAATTATATTTAATTTATTTAATTTATTTTGACACAATTGCTTTGTCTTGTAAGCAATCTATAAGTCTTCTACGCGGTGCTATAATGAAACACGACCAATTGATTTGTTAGTTTTAGGTCCCTTTCTAATGGAAAATGATCTCGACCTTGTTTTCGATATAATTTACAAGCGACGAAAACTTCAAAACACACGAGTATAAGGGCAGATTTTGAACCATTCAAAGTGTGAAAGTATTAAACCCTTTTGCCGGCTCAACACGCGGGCTGTTGGCGAGTTGTTGCTTATGACAGAATTTTCCGGAATTTTGATGGGATCTCAATTGTTGTTTGTTCTAGAAGAGAAATGAGAGCAGACGTAGAATTTCGCTAAATTACTTAAACTGTACCAGCGTACTTTTAAGGTACTTTCAGCTCAAACCGCTGCGCCTCAGTTTGAGAGCTGTTACCAAACTTTGACATCTATCATGTTCATTTCAAGTAACATTTAGCTGGCTTACCTGCTTCCGGGAAAGAAGAAAAGATCGTTTGGATTTGCTTTAAACAATGTTCCTGAAAGACTGGAAAAAAAGAGCCGTTTTTTTCGGTGGATACTAACTAAATCGTTAACTCGTCAAGAGAAGCGAATTCAATAGTTTTGTTCCGATGAGGCTAAACCAATCAACGCGGTAAATTGTTCCTTTGAAAATGAGGCGAAGAGGATCATATATATATATATATATATTTTTAATTCAGTTCACGTGGGCATTTTCAGCTGCAACATAGTGAAATTAGTAATATGCATTTAGAGATGAAGTTATTAGTTAAAAATCCTTGTAATTGAAGGGATATAGAGTTTCCAAGGCTTAGGTTCTCTTAAACAATGAAAAATTCTTTTCTTTTGACCGTGCGATTGAGGAGGATTATTCGAATCTCTAAAGACTGCAAATAAAAGAATGGAAAAATCGGTAAAAGATATGGATCACAACACAGGAGAAATAGCTAAATTTGCTGAAAGCACAGACTGTGTTTGTCCTTAATTTGCGCTGACCTATTTATGACTGATTTTCTTTTCGTCCAGTTAATAACAACGTAAAAAAAAAAAAGAAATTGAAAACTTTTCCCGATCAATTGCCTTTACCCAGGCGCGTCCATAACATTGAAAAGTGTCACCAAAGTTAGATTATTATCATTTCTTTCAGAAGCGTGATCAGAATTATTTCTCAATCAGAGCTTACTGGATTAATAACGCCGAGGCAATTAAACCTTTGTTTATGGGCCTGAATTGACAGAATGAAAAATCGGGTATTTCCTTATATTACACGTTTAAACACAACAAATCTTTGTTTCGGGGCATTTAATTCCACCCCGTTTAACGCCTTCGCTTCATCAGACCACAAATCGAATTCTTGTCTCCAGCTTTCATACCCTAATAACGCCACAAAAGTGAAGCGAAAATTCTACTGATTCAACGAAATAGTATTTTCCAAAATAAGGCCAGCTCCGGTGGCCCTTTTTGTCTCCATGAAGAAGCTAATGTCTACGTTTTCTCAGTCAAAAAAGTGATTTATCCGAAGTGGAAAGATTTCTATCCAAAGTATAAGAATATCATCATTACCGGTAACCTTTCTAAGAACTACCGACAATTTCAAAAGTAGGAAGGTGTAACTAGTTTGAGCATAGGGCAAAATCGAGCAGTTCGTGTCAAAAGTCATTACTGTCTGGTAGAGATTACGGTTGTTTTGTTCCACACTCTATTGGTTGCCTAGAAAGATAATTACTTTTTATTTTAGAAATCGGAAATATTCCTATGCTGGTATTCATCTTTTCAAGAAAAGCA